AAAATAATAATAGGTTAGTACATTAAATAATGAAATCGATGATATTTGTATTCTTATTGAAAAAAATTAATAATCAATTTAAAGTATTATATCTTAAAATCCATCTGTATTATTTTTAATAAAATAAGAATACAAAATTTAAATTCATATATATTATTAAAATAAAAGCTTTCTAGTTTAGTTTAAGTCAGATTTAGTTACATAGAAAAAATATAAAAACTTATTTAAGATAAAATTCTGAATGAGGATTAATTAAATTTATTATGTGATTCCTTTAGAGTATTTAATATATATATATTTTTTTTTTTTATAATTAAAATTTTAAAAGCTTAGATTAGGAGCTACTGGAAAAACAAGATTATATGCATTAAATATATTTTTTAATTTTCTTTATAACGCATTTTTAGAAAACAATTATTAATATTTTTTATATGGATACGATATAAATACAAATAATAATAATAATGGTTTAAAATTATATAATTTAAAATTTTATTAAAATATATTTATTTAAATAGTTGAAATATAAGATAATGAGTTTAATAAATATGTTGAAATTTTCAAAAATATAGTAGAATTACCAGATAATGATAATTAAATATATTGTGCACTTCCAACATTAAGAAAATTAATCGAATAAAGATCTTAATTTAAAAGGTTAAATATAAAAACAAATTTCAATAATAATTAAAAAATATAAAGTATATACAAAGAAATGAAAAGTTTATAATAGCAGTTTTATTAAAGAGCTAATAATATAGAAATTTTAATTGATAAAATATGCCCTTTATTATCAGTAATTTAAACTGGAAAATTAATAAATTCAATTGAAAAAGTAAAAAATAAATAAAAATAAATATATTTATGTATTTTATAAAATAAAGTAACGATAATAATAATAACTATCTTATATAAAACCAAAATATAATGTATAATAATAACAATAATATTAATAATAATATATGAATAATAATTCAAATAATAATACATTAGTTAAATAAAATTAATAAATAAATAATCAAAATTATCATAATCAATTTTAAATGATAAACCCAAACGTTAATTAAAATTAATAATTGGCTGTTTTAAATAATATTTTGTGTGCAAATGGAAATTAATAATGGTTGCATTAACCGAACAGTAATTTGATAAAATAAAATATTGATTTGGGTTCAGATAATAATATACCTACTCATCATTAAATTACCTAAGATGATTCAATGTACCATTAATATTAATTTAGAATGAATTATCAAATGTACCCTTAATTTAATATATAAAATTTACCAAATAGTATGTATTATTAACCTAATTCAAATTAACAATTTTATTCTAATTAATAAAACCCATTCTAAATGTATGAATTTATTGGCGGAGGTTAGTAAAAGGATGATAAAGATGAACCTATACACTTACATTAAATTACTGGTAGTAATTAATAATTAGGAATTGTTAATGAATAATAATATTATTAGTATGATACTATATAAAAGAAAAGAAAAGCCTGATAAAATAAATTAATTATTAAACTTTATATTTTATTTTATTTATATAATACAATTATATAGATTTTTTTTTTTTTTTAATATAAAAATAAAATTAAAATGAGCTTCATAATAAATTTAAATAAACTAATTATGATTATTTACATATAAAATCTAAATATTCATTTAATTCTTTTTATTTTTTATCAACTTTACACATAAGTTTACCTTTAAAATTTAAAGAATGTAATAAATCTTATAATTATATATTTATTTTGATATTATTTTATCTAAAAATAAAAATAAAAAATATATAAATAGAAAATAAATAAAATAAAAATAAGAAATTTCCAGATGCATTTATTTAAAATAATTATATCTAGCCATTTCTATAGTTTTAATATATATATTTATTTTTTTAATACAGTTTCCAATATAAATTATTTTATAGTTATATAATTAATGTTTTTTTTTATATGTATATTTTATTTTAAATAAAATAAAATTTATTTATTATTATTATTATTTATTTTTATTAATAATTATGTAATTTTTCTTCATTTATTAAAAGTCTTATTTCCATAAATTAAAATAACTTAGTCAAAATTTTATGTATTCTAATTACTTAAGCTTTTTTTTTAATTTCTATAATGTTTTACTTGCATTTTTTTCTTATATTATTATTAGAGATATTATTTATAATTATAGCATTAATATTTCTTTAATTAAGTAATAACTTATCTTTTTTCTTCACTTATAGACTCTATTATTCAATATTATTAAAACTCATTGTTTTTTACCTTTATTATTTTTTAATTATCTATTGATTTTTTTATTTTAAATGTTTAGAAAGTTTTGGAAAGAAAATAATATATTTAAGAAAATTCTAACTAAAGAAAAAATCTTTTTTTTTATAATACTTTTTTTTTTACACTAATTAAAAATTTAATGTATTTTGTTTGAATTTTAAAAATAACATAGAGTATTTGCATATTTGGAAAATAAATATAGGCTAAATAGAACATAATATATTTTAACTTAAATTTATAAATTTAATTCTTAGAAAAATAAGTAATACAGTTAATATAAACTAATAAATTATTTATAATATAATAAAATATAAAAATAAAGTATTTTTAAATATAAATTTGTAAATCAAGTATTTCTATATATTTAAATTGTTTAAAATATTACCGAATAAAATAATAATATTTATGTCTTATTTTATATAATCATATAAATTATATTAATAAGATTTTTTAAGATTTTTTTTTTATAAAAATATTTAGATTAATTTTTTTTATTAACTAAAAAATAAAAAATAAAGTTTTAAAATATTAAATATTTATTATACTATTAATACTGAAAATTATAATGCTAATTTATTTTTAAAAAAAATATCTTATATATTTTTTTAAAATAATACAATAAATACAATTATTTATAAATATTTATACATTTAAGAGTAACTTTGTAAATATTTTTCTTTAAAATATTATAAAAATATTAATTATTTATAAAATTATAAATATTTTATATTATTCAGATTGTTTCTATTTAAAATTTGTGAAATATAAAATGAAAAACTTATTTAATAAAATATTTATCTAACTTTTTTATATAAAAATAAAAAATATATATAAATAATGGAATAATTTATATAAATATAATATATTTTAATAATTAAAAATATTTTAATGTATGTTTTAATTATATTATAAATTAAATTTTTATAAATAATTTATAACTAAAGCCAGTCTTAAAAAATTATTTGTTTAATAAATGTTAATATAAAATTTAAAATTTGGATAGACATAATTATTATATAAAAAAATAAATATATAAATATGAATATGATATATATATATATATATATTTAATATTTATTATTAATTTAAATTATTTGTATAAATTGACAAATCTATTTTATTTTATTTTTCTATTAATTAAAATATTGTAGAAAAATATAATTACTTTTATTTTTAATTTATATATATCTTTAATTATATACATATATATTTTTATACTTTTTATACTTATTAATATATATTTAATTCTATAATATTTTATTTTATAAAGTATTTTTTATAAAAATATTTAAAATAATATTAATTTTGTTTTTTTTTAATTAATACAAATTTTCTTAAAAATATTTACGCACAAATTATATAAATAAAATATAATATATATATATATATATTAATTTTTTTCAATATTTTAATTATATCAAAAATATTAATTTTTATAATTTTTTCATTAATAATATTTTTTATTTAATTTATTTTAAATTAGAATATTTTTTATTTCTTATATTTAATTTTAATTTTAATTTTTTATTATGTTTATTTATTTATAGTCTTAACTATTTTTTCTATCTTTTTTTATAAAATCTTCTTTATTTTTAATAATAATATTATGATTAAAAACATTTTAATTATCTTCTTATATTTAATTCGAACTCATATAATTTTAATATTTTAAAATTTGTTTTATGCTTTTTAAAGAATCTATTACTTTTATAGAAATATTTTAAGCAATTTATTTTATATTAATAAGATTTTAATTTTCATTTATTAAAATATTATATATGTCTTATTCTAATTTATTTTTATAATCTGTATATAAATTATTATATTCTTATTTTATGTTTATTTCTTCTTTCATTTTATTTTTTTCTTGCTATTCTTTTATTATTTACTATACTTCTGGAGATAAAAGATGGGAATTTTTATCAAATTTATTAGATTTTTATATATTATTATTATATTCTTATTATATATTATTATTATTATTTTATTAATTTTTATTTTTGAAATAATCATGTACTTTTTATATGCTTGAATTTTCTGTTTAAAAATATTTATTTCTTTATGTACTTTATATATTAGGGATTATTAATTATTAATTTAATTAAATTTATCTGTCTGTATTTTACTGAATTTATTATTATATTTTTGTATTTATTATATTTTAGATTTTGTTTTCTTTATTTTCTTAATTTTATTAATTATTTAAATATGCCTAAGGTATATAATGAGTAGAAAAACACTTCCTTTCTTTATTTATTATTGGTTAACTTTTTGATGTATTTTTTTTTTAAATATTATTATGTTTTTAATTTTTTACTTATTTGATTATTTTTTATTTGAATACATTTTTTTTATAAATTATTTAACAATATTTTTTTAAATATACTAAATATTTATTTATTGTATTTTTTTATTATAAATAAATAAAATATATTAGCATATAAATATATTAATATAAAATATTATATATTATTTTCTAAATTTTAAAGATTATATAAATAAAAAAATTATATTATAATTGTAAAAAAATATAAATATTAATAAACAAGTATAAATAGAGATATATTTATAAAAAAATATATCATAATTTTTAAATTTTAACATTTTAATTTAATATTTTTTGCATTTCTATAGATATTATATTCTTTTAATTAGCACTAAAAAATCATTAATAATAAAAATATGAAAAAAAAAAATTACAAATCTTTCATTGATTATTCTATTTTTATTCTTCTAATCTTTTCATTGTTAACAATTTTAGAATAATATATGTCTAAAAAAAATATATAATTAAATTAAATATATAAAAAAATAAAATAATAAAGAAAAATACAAAAATATTTATATATATAAATATATATAAAATTATATAATATATATATATATATATATTTATTAATATATATTTATAAATAAATAAAATATAATATAAATATATATAAATACCATCTAAAACTAATACTGTATATTAAACTAGCAAGCAAACTCCAAATAGAAAAATTTAACCTAATATAAATATTTCTTTTTATCCTAAAATCATTCTATCAAACAATAAAAATGTGCTTTTATACTAAAAAGTTTACAAACAAATATAAAATAAACATACACTTATAAAACTACTTCCAAATATAAATATATTAGCTCCTTTGCAAAAAAAAAAGATACTAAAATTTGATATAAAGACTACATTTGATAATATGAAATTCCCTGTCAAATCTAAATAATTGCCAAATCCTAATTTACTAAAATAATTTTAATCTTCGAAAATTTAAACTGCTAAAATTCCTAATATACATGCCTAAAATGCTCCCATAAAAAACCATTTCCAGAAAACTCTCGAATTAAACATCATATTATTAATTCCTTCCCAATAAAAAAGCGGATTTTCCTTTAAAAATTTACATTTAAACTACTTATCGTATACAGCAAATATACCTATAGGCGCTGAAGTAAAAACAATATTATATAGTTAAAAAACCCAAATATCATATAAAAATTGCCCCGAAAAGCCATTAAAAAATCCATAAAACAACTAAGGCAGTACCAAGAGAATATTCTTATAAAAATTATATAAGACTATACCTGAGTTTTTTCTATAGAACTCCCTTCCGTAAAATAATAGCAATTTATTCAATTATTGGAACTCACATATTGCAAAATCGGAAGCTCTTGCAGCTTATTAGCCTTCTAAGCCTTTTATTCCTACACCAACATGTGCTCCAATGATCATATTGACGTCGTTTGCACCATCTCCTATTGCTAGGGTTTTACTTTTGGGCATTTTGGCCCGAAAAAGGTCTATTATTTGCCTTTTTTATTTCGGAGAAACTCTACAGAGGATTACTGATTCTACTAATTAAGTTATAACCATAAATTAATTTAATAAATTCTCTGTTTGTTCCTATTATTTCTAATGAGTCATAAATTCGAGAGATTAGCCAGTAATTATAAGGCTTATTTTTTATATATATTTTACAATTTAAGCTTATTTATATACATAATTTAACTTATTAATAACTATTTACATATCTTCGTCGTTTTGGAAATCTAACTCTAAAATTTTATAGTCTTTTTCAATTATAGCGGATAATAAGCCGACATTTATTGCTGTTTCTTTTTTATCTCCAGTTAACATCCATATTTAAATACCAGCAAGTCGTAAATTACGAATTGTTTTTGGAACATTTTTTTATAGTTTATCTTCAATAGCGGTACTGGCAAACAAAATTAAATTATTTTCTATTTCTGAAGTTATTTTTTCAATTTATTCTTCTCTCTATTAGTAAATATATTAAATATATATATTTGATTTGTCTATAAATTATGGTATTAGTTACATCTGGACCTAATAAAGTAAGGGCTTTAGTATATTTTTATTACCAATTGTCATATTCGTAATTTTACAAAGTTTTTTTTGCTAAAAGTAATGTCCTATAACCTTATTAGGAACATTAATTAAGATATTTTTAAGTTAAGTTTTTTAAATTTCTGTATAAAAATAGATATATATAAATATAAAAATATAAAAATATATAAATAAATATATATATATATAATATATATATATATATATTACTTATTTATTTTATTTTTTTTATCCAAATTTTAAAAAATAACACAATCAGCACCTTTTGAAAATAAGAATATTTTTTTTTTTTCTAAATCTTCGAAAATAATACTCATTTTTTTTCTTTGACTTGAAAATTCAATTATGTTTAGTATTCGATAAAAATACTTTTTTTCTGTTTTTATATTTTATATTACTAATATACCATTTTCATCACTTTCTTATATTTAAAAACCTCCTAATTTTAAAGCGAAATCCGCTATGCATACATCGTCTGGGGAACATCCATTATATATATACTAATTATTTTTTTTTTCAACAATAATCTAATTGCAAATACTTAAAAAAATGAAAAAATCTTCCTAATTCTACTCTAAATTGCCTTAATTAACATTTTTCTATAAATTTAAATCATTAAAACCTTCCAAACCATCATCCTAATTCCCATATATAATCCCTTCTAGCTAAAAGCTTTTAAATATCAATTAATTACATGTCAATGTTCCTGTTTTATCTGTAAAAATATAGCCTATTTACCCTAATTCTTCATTAAGTGAGCTACTTTATACCTGAGGTTTAATTAATCCGTCTTCTGAAGCCATTTCTTTATCCTTAATAACCCCCTAGGCTTAAAAAAACTTGACCATATCCAAAGTTACTAGCAAAGAAATAGGCACGAAATTTGAAAAAAGTAGCATCCACATTCCATAATTAACCAAAAATGGTTTAAAATAATTTTTTTGCTGAAAAAAATTCAAAGAATGTGAAAGTTCCCAAACTAAACATAATAAACTGCACAAAATACAAATAATTATCTATACTAAAAAAACCAATATAATTTCTTCATTCATCTATTTCTAAATAGAACTCATTTTAGGCCTTGCTTTGACCGAATTTAGCATTATTTTTGTATGATTTCCCGTATAGGCAACTAAACCAATTATAAAGTCAGTCTATTATAATGTACAACCCCTTAAAATAAACGCATTCGGGTCTAAAGGGACTTCTATTAAGCCTTTTTCAGTACAATTGAGGGCAAAACTGCCTTGAAATTAGTGTAAAAAATGATTAGGTCTTTCATATTTGGCAAAGGAGAAATTCTCGAAAATATTTTCAGGGGTTTTAAATATTTATTTTATTTATTTTGGAACTGTTTTTATTTTTAGATTGGTTTCACCGTCTAAGTTCTTTGTTTCAATGTAACATTTGCCTTTTTTATCAGAAGAATAAAGAAGGATTAAATCAGATGGTAAAGGTTCGTTTTTTTTCACTTTTATTATGTTTCCGATTCGTAAGTCGCGCCATTTTCCTTTTATGAAAATATTGTTCTGACCAATTTCAATTTCTTTATTATTTTCTTATTCATCATATATATGCCTATTTTTTTGTTTTTATATTTTGTATTTTTTATTTTTATATTTCTGTATTTTTTTATTTTTTTGGTTTATATTTTTTTATTTTTATAAAACCTGTTTAAATCTTCGTATACATCTTTTATAGCTGTAACTGTTAATATTATAGTTAATGGTATTAAAATTACGGGTTTTCCATCGGAATTGCTTATATCATGTATTGTTTGAGTTAAACCTATTATCTATATTATATTATTTATAAATATTTTTAATTATTATTTAATTTTCGAATTACTAGGAAATAGACATTTGATAATTTAGAAAATTATTCGAATAAATATAAAGGTAAAAAATTTAATAAATTATATTTAGCTGTATGTATTTGATTATCTATTACATCTAAGTCTGGAATATTTGTTTGTATTATACGATTTGGGTGCTTTTGGGGATCTGATATGCTACTTTTTAAACAATAATAAATATTTTATTATTCCGGATAGTTTTTATGGTTTAATTCTTCTTTTGTGAAGTACTTTTCTTTATTTTATAATAATAATTATTCGTTCATTTTATATTTTTTTGTTAATTATTTTTTTGCTTTAAAATGTGTTTCTTTAGTATTTTTATTATTTTCTTTAAATTGATTTGTAAATATTTTTTTTATTTTTATTTTATTTTATTAATTTTTTTTTTTATTTTATTAATGATAATTTATTATGATAAATATATTTTCCTTTATTTTTTCTAATTTTATTATTTTGTATTATTTTAATTTAAAAATATAAACTTATAATATTAATATTAATAATATTAAAAACAAAAGTTTGTTATTATATTTTTTAGTAAATTAATAGTTAATTTTTGAAAAAATATTCATAAATATAAAATAAAGAATTTAATTAAAATCATATAATCAAACATTTTCATATATTTACTAAAATAGAATCATATTTAAAAATAAATAATTAATTTAATAATTAAATGATAATTTATGATCTAAAAACAGATAGCATTATTATTATAATTAATAAATTAATTTTATAATAGTAAGAATTTTCATACAAATAAATATTTTATTTTTACTTCAGTAGATAAAAAAAAAAAAAAATTGTATTTTGCATTATAAATTTATTATATATAAATAAAATAAAGAATAAATTAAAAAAAAAAAAAAATTATAATAAAAATAAACTAATTATGTAAAACTCTAAAGATAAATATAATCGACAGCATAATAATTTATTAATTAAATAATTACATATATATTTTAAAAAATTAAAATAATAATATAGTATTAAATATTATTAATATAAAATATATATTAAAAACATCAATTAAATATTTTTAATTAAACAGATATTAATATATTAAAATTATGATAATATATAATTATTAATTAAAATAATTAATTTATAATATTAATAAATAATCTATAATTTTAAAATCTTAATAAAAAAATTACAAAATTAAATATATTAATTTTCTTAAATTTTTAATAATTATATAGTTACTATACTATACTATACTATACTATACTATACTATACTATACTATACTATACTATACTATACTATACTATATTATACTAATATATTACTTTATTTAAAAAAAATATTTTTATTTTAGAAAATATTTTTAATTAAATTATTAAATTTTTTAATTATAATATTTTTTTATATATGTTTTTTATTATTTGTTATTTTGTATATTTTTATTGAATGTTTTAAATTAGATAAAATTAAAAAACTAATAAAAAAGTAATTAATTAATATTATAATAAAAATTAATATAAAAATCTTTTTTATTTATCAATTAATAAAATAAAATTTTTTGAAATAAAGAAATTTTAGTAATAATTTATAAATATTTAAAATGATTTTTATATAATTTATATTATTAAAATTATATACTTTGTAAAAATATATTAAACATAAAACACATTTTTACTTTTTTTAATAAATATTTTATAATTTTAATTACAATAAAATCATCTTAATTATTTTTATATATACGAATTTTATTGTTATTTAAATAAATTTTTTAATAAAAATTGTCACTATTTAATTATTTTTTAATATTTTGTTATTGAGAAATAATATGCAAATTAGAAATTCCATTTAAATTTTTAGCTTATTTTTATTAAATTTATTCTTTCATATTTTTAATTTATAAATTTATTAAATTTATATCTTAAATTTAAACATCATTATTATTATAATTATTATTATTATTATTATTATTATTATTATTATTATTATTATTATTATTATTATTTATATTAATAATTTTATTTCTTTTATTATTATTTTAATTTTTTATATTGTTTTAATTTTTTTCTAATTAAATAGTGGTTTACTTCTGTATAATAGTTCGCTAATAAGTTTTTTTTATTAATATATTTTTTCTTAATTTTTATTTTCTTATGAATTACCTATCGAAATTTATTATTATTTTCTTTTAGTACTATCCTTATCTTAAATAAAACTATTAATATAATAGTAAATATTAATATAATAATACAATTTTTTACCTTTATTTTGAAAATATTTTTGTTAATGTTTATAAATTTTATATTTAGTCATATTATATATTTAAATAATTATTAGAAGGTTCCGTAATAATTCTTTAGTTTCCATATAAAGAACTTATATTTCCTTATTATTATTACTATTATTTTCTTCTACTGTTGATTGAAATACTTATATTATTTTAATTAGGCATTTTATGAGCTTTTTCATTATTTAAATTATTACTACTATAAATTTTATTTAATTAATTATTTAATGTTTTGTTTTGTAATTATTATTAAAACTATTAATGAAAACTTCGATTTTTATATTATGAATTTTATTAATTGCATAAACTATATTAATTTGAAAATTATTCGTTTATGAAAATATTATTATTATTATTATTATTATAACTTAAGTTATTTTTTTATATACATTTTATTATTTTTTAATTTCTTTATTAATTTTAATATAACTCTAAATTACTTTTATCATTTTAAAATTACTAATTACTTTTTTTTATAAAATAAAAAAGAAATAATTTAATTATATTAAATAAGATATATTTTTACTTTGATATTAGTTTTATACTATTTTTTATGTTTTATATTTTTGATACTATTTTCTAGGAATTTATTATTAATATTATTATTATTATTATTATTATTATTATTATTATTATTATTATTTATTATTTTGATTTATTTTTTTAGAAATTTCTTCATCACTTTTATTTAAATTAATGTATTTTTTCTATACGTTATTAAACTATTTTTCTTTAATATTATTTATATCTTTTATTTTTATAATTTATTATTAATTATATTATATCCCTGAATAATTATTTTTAGAAATATTTTTTTTTTATAATTATTAAATTATTTTAGTTTATTATCTTTAATGCTTTAATTATTTTTATTATTATTTTGATATTTATTTATTATGTTTTTTAAATTATTATCTTAATCTTCTTATTTTTTATTATCTTCGACATTTTTTTCTATAATTTATATTTTTTATTATATATTATTCTCAAAATCTTCATTTTCTTCAGTTTTAATTCTTCTAAATTTTTCATCTTTTAAAAGTTAGACTTTTTTGTTTTATTATTACTATTTAATAAATAATTTTTTATCATTAAATTATTAATTTTATTCTTATATTTTTAATAATTCTTCTTCTTTTTAATCATTTTTTATCTCTTATTATTTAAAATATTCTCTTTGATAATTTTTCATATTTTATTCGTGTAAATTATAAATAAAAACTTCTTCTAGAGATTATATTGAGGAATTTTAAGACGGTGAAAAGTTTTAATTTATATCAAATTTTTCATTTCCTTTATTTCCTTTCTTTTTTATTGGAAATTCATATTTTTAATTACATTCGCTTTTATTGAATTTTTTTTCTATTTCTATTTTAAAATCTAATGTTTTTTTAACATTATTATATATTATTATTATTTTATATTAATATATTAATTTATAATTTTTTTATTTTTACTATATTCTTATCTTTCTGATTAATTATTTTAACATTTTTCGAATTCTTCATATGATTTTTGGGTGTTGTTATTACTTATAGACGATTAAATATTTTATTTTTTTTATTTATGCATGTTTATTTGGGTATTTTTTTGATTTAATTCTTATTGTTTTAGTTATTCTATTGATTCATTTATTTTTATTTTTAATTTTTTTATTTGTTATTCATTCATTTTTTTTTTTTAATAAAGAATCAATTTTATTTGTTATTAAATATATAGGCGATAATTTATTTTTTATATTTTAAATATTTTTAGTAAGTATTTAAAAAAATAATAAATATATGTATATTATAATTATACAGTTAATAATATATTTAATTTAAAAATAATTATTTCTATTTAAATTTAATTATATATATATAAATATATTATATTTTTATTTACAAAATGAAATACTTTTTTTTTTAATTTTATATTAATGCTTCATATAAATTAAAGATTATTAAAAATATATTTTTAAAAAAATTATTATTATTATTTGATATTATAGAAAAATAAATTAACCAATTATTTGTTATTTCATTATTAATATAAATTATTATATATAAACTTTGTTAATTTTTATATTTTAATCATTATTTTTTTTTATAAAAAAAAATATAAATATTAATTTTTAAAAATACATAAAAGAAAATATAAAAATAATATAAATTAAAAATTTCAACTATCTAAATAAAAAAAAAATTATAAAAATTAAATAAATAAAAATAATTTTAAATTAAATAAATAAAGTTTGTTAACTTTTTATCTATATAAAATTAATATTAATAAAAAAAATGTAACTATTCATAGTTTAAATAATTTTTTACTCACCAATGTTTTTATTATTAACTAAAGAATATTGAATTATAAAATAAAATTAAATAATAAATAGGATAAAAATATTATTTAATATATAATTTATTATTAATTAAAACTTAACAAGAAAATATATTATTATATAATATTATAATATAATTTTTCTAAAAATTATTTTATATAAAATAATCATATTTAGTTAAAATTAAAATCCATTCAAAATTATTAAAAAATAAAAGAATAATTTTTTAATATTTTCTTAATAAAAAAAGAAAAAAATAATTAATATATATATAATTTATTAAAAAAATACAATAAATTATAAATTTAGCTTATTAAATTAAAAATAATTTTAAATATATGTATATCTTATAAAAAATAAAATATATATATATAAATATATAAATATATAAATATATAAATATTTTTTATATATCTATATTTTTATATATTTATATTATTTATATATATTATTTTATACATTATTATATTTTATTATATATATTAAGTTAATTTATTTATCAAATATTTATTTTTATCATAATATAATATCATGTTAATAATAAGGTTTAATTTTATGAAAAAATTTTATAAATAAATAAATAAGAAATATATCTTTTAGTATTACATTAATATTTTTAAATCATATAAATGAAAAACATTTTTATTCTTTTATTTTTATGTTAATTATTTACTTTAGTTATAGAATTGCTTATTTTTTTTTATATTAATAATATCTTTTTAATTTTTTTGTATTTAATATTTTTTTTCTTTAATAATTTAAATAATTTATTAATTAAACTTTCAATTATTTTTTATACTTTCATTATTTAAATATTATATTTTTTACATGTTTATATAATAATTTTTTCTTATTCTTAATTTTATATTTATTATAGAATTTAAAAATATTATTTTTTTTACTAATATTTAATAATTTTTTTTTATTTTATATAATTTTATGATATAAAAAAAAGTAATAATCTTAAAACAATCTTATTAAAAAAGATTAAACATTAAAATTAAAATTAAATTTTAATTTATATATATACAAATTTTACAAATATTTTTGATTGATTAATTTTACATATGAACGAAAAAAAACTTATAATAAATAAAATGCCTTTTTTTTTTAAAAAAAAAATATAATATTAAAAAAAAAAAAATTATAAAGAAACAATTTCAAAAATTTATTTATATAAAATGCATAACAATATTATTTAATAATAAAAAACTAAAAAAAAATCATTTTTTTTAACTTCTATCAGTTAAAACAACAGAAATAAGACTATTGACATGCAATAAAAGAGTCGAAACATTCATATAAATAGCAATAGCTCCAACCACCGGATCTTCCCTTGACCATTCAGTTTTTGCCCCACTAACGACAGTTTCATTTTCCCATACAATAAAGAATCCAAATAATATACAAATGACAGCCAGAATATAAATTGCATGTAATTAAATTGAGCTGAAAATTTCAAAAACAAGTGTAACAGCAAGTACATTTCCAAAAACATACAAAGCAGCTATTTAAAAAGTAAGATATCCTTTAGAAGTTAATACATGAATAAGGAGAGAAAACATAAGAGTGGCTCCATAAAAAAGTAGGTAAAATATAACTCCTGAGAATTAAGTAGTTAAATAGGCAAATAATAAGGCAAATGATAATACAAATATTACATAAGAAAGATAATTTACTAATAGACGAGATAATAATGATTTAAATAAAAAAGCTAATAAACCTAAAGTAATAGTTATTATTAAGCAAAATATAAAAGTAAATCCATAGTTATTTTATAACCATTTCGAATATTCTTCAAATTTCATAGCACATGACGAAAAGGTACAGGCTATTGTGAGTTGTAAAAATACGTTAAAATATAATTTCCTTAAATATAATACTCGGGATAAACTCTCACCTTGTAATATGTTTATGTCTTCTTCTTCTTACTCTTGTTAATAGTCCATGTTTTGGTTTTGTAAAGGACTATTTGATTGGAAATTACGATCTTGATTAGCTTAATAATTGGAACCGTATATTATTGATTATGGTAGATTTTGATTTGGATAGAACATTTTTAGTTTTTTTTATTTTTTTAAAGTATTTAAGTTTTTTTATTTTTTTGATTAGTTTTTTTTTTTACTTTTATAATTTTTTTTTTTTTATTTTTTTAAATTGCTTTCGTTTTTTTATTATAAATATATATATAAATATATATATTATATATATATATATATATTTAACGTATTTCTTATTTAATAAATATAAATTTTCATATTATAATAGTTATTATTTTATTTATTTATTTAAGTTATTTTAATATTTATAATTTGTTTAATTATAATATGTTTAAGTATATGATTTTTTGAATATAATCTAAAATAAAATAAAAATTTATATTATTTGTATTATTAAAAATTATTTATATCTGTTTTTTTTTAGTTTAAAAATGATTATATTTTTAGAAAAAATAAATAAATAAAAATTATATAAAATTTACAATAAAAAATAACAATATAATGATTTATATATAAATTTTTTTTAAAAAAAATTAAAAGAATAAATATATATTTAAATAATAAACATCAATTGTCATCATTATCATAAGAATTATGTTAATAATAATATTTATTATATTTATCATACACATATTTTTTATGAAAACTTCTACTCCTATTATTTTAATCATCTTTGTTTCTATCAAAAGATTTCGAAAAATTATTAGTATTATTATTATTATTATTATTACTATTATTATTATTATTATTATTATTATTATAAGATCTATTATTATAATCTTAATATTTATTATTATAATTATAGTTAGAATAATTATTATTATTATTAAATTTATTTCCTCTAGAATAATTACTGCTTTAATTTTATTCATTATAATCTCTATTATTATTATAATTATTATTGCTTTTATAATAATTATAATTATTATTATTTTAGTTTTTATCCGATATACTTTTAGGTAATTACTTATCCACATAATATTATAAGAATTCTTATGGTTCAGATTAAAAAACTTCTATATATCTTTAAAATATTTTCTGACCATGAAGTTTTTATTTTGCTTCTTTTATCTAATCTTTATTTTAAAGAAGAACAAAACATTCCCCACTCACTTTTTGTTCATTATTATAAACTCTTATTAATCCATCTTGTACAATTTAAAATCCTTTAAAAAAATCATATATATCTTTATTTGAACATGAATAAGGAAGACCCCTTATTCTTAAAATTCCAAACTTTTTTACGGTTTTCATATCTTTGAAATTGTTTTGATATTAGTTTTGAGATTAAGATGATGATGAGTGTTAATATTATTAAGATTATGTCGATTATTATTACTATTGTTATTACTAACCTTATTATTAAGATTGCTAATGTTATGAATATGACTATTATTATTGAGACTATGTTTATGATTATTATTATTAATGTGATTATTGTTATTAATGCGTTTATTATTATTATTAATTTTATTATTATTATTATTATTATTATTATTATTATTATTATTTTTATTATATTTATATTGATTATTATTATGATTGTTATATAGGTTATGATTATTGTTAATTATTATAATTCGAATAACTATTATTACTTTTGTAGGTTTAATTAATTTTTAATAGCAATTCATTATTAAATCTATTATTATTTTCATTAATAATAGGACTTCCTATTTATAATTATTATTTATTTTAAATAAAATGTGTTTATTGTATATTAGGAATTTAAATAAGATTTTATTATTATAATTATTATTATAACTTAGTATTTTTTAAAGGAAAAATGAAATTATTTTCAATTTTTATGATAATATTTAAAAGCTTTTGCATTTATTTAAAGATATTCTCAGTTGAATTTTAATGAATATTAGTCCTTAAAGATAAATATTTTATTTCAGACTCTATAGTTCTATATTCATGGAATTATATATTAAATAATTCACAAAATTATTTTATATATAAAATAATTTTCGTAATATTCCTTTGGTTATATTTTATATTCTTCTAAAAATTATAATAAAAAATCGTCATTATTTATTGTTTCGGCATTAAATATAAATGCATATCTTTGATTCTTTTAAATAATTTCGCTTTCTATCAATTTATTAAGAGTATTAAAACATTAATAAATCATATTATTTTACCTATCTTTTACAAACATGTTATTTTATATCATACTATTTTGATCATTTTTTAAATTTTATAAATTTAAATATTTTTATTCCTAAGTTTTTTTCTCTTTTACATTATATAATCCCCATATCATATCTTTTATCTTTTATTCATGTTAACTTTGCTCAAATCCAAATTCTAATATTATAAAATAATCAAAAGGTAATTATTAAATTTAGTTTGGGTATAAATTAGGAATATTTATTTATAATATGCTCATTTTTTTATATATAAATTTTTAATAAAATATAATAGTATAAAAAATATATAAAAAATATTTAAACTATTTTTATAATTATTAATATTAAAAATAAAAATAAATATTATAAAAATATATATCTTTATATAAAAAGAAAATATATTATTTAAAATAATAATGTATAAAATAATATTTAATAAAAATTATAATATATATATATATATATCTATATATCTATTATATATAAATATAATATATATATATTATTATTGAATATTATATTTTTATATATATATAAATACTTATATTTTTTTTATATATGTTTTTATATTTATTTCATTATTTTTATTATTTAAAAATTGTAAATAAAAAATTTTTCAATCTTCTTTATTCATTAAAATATTAATAACTTTTAAATCTATATCATATACTATTTTTTATTAATATGCCATATTTTTTTAATTAATCCACTAATGCTTTATTTATTATTTAATACTTTATCTATTTACAGAACTAACATTAAGTAAACAAGAAACAAAGTTTTTAGCATCATCACTAATATCCTTAGTAAAATTAAACTATCCTTTTTCTATTTTCTAAAGAGTTCCTTTTCTACTTCTTTCATAAAAAGGAGTTACTCCTTAAAGAATTTCATAAGCTAATACTCCAAAAGCCCACATATCAACTTACTTATTGTATTTTTCTCCTTTGACAATTTCTGGACTCATATAATCAAGAGTTCCACAATAAGTTTTTTTAGAATCTTTTTTTCCACAAACTGTGCTATATCCGAAATCTGCAATTTTCACAACATCCTTTATATTAAAAAAATATTTTAAATAAAAATACGAATTTTCAAATATATATATATATATATATATAATAAAGAAAAAAAAATATAAATTAGTTTTTTGTTTTTTACAATTTTTTACATTACAAAGTAAAATATTTTCTGTTTTAATATCTCTATGTATAACTTTTTTTTTATGAATGTAAAATAAAGCATCAGCTATTTACATTAAATAAAAAGCTGCTTATTCTTCATTTAATTTTCTTTCTGGTTATTATCTTTAATAGATATGGAGTTCTCCACCTGGCGCATATTCCATAATTAAATAAAAGTAATCTATATCATCAAAGAAGCCATATAATTTTACTATATTTGGATGCTATAATGCACTTTATACTTTTATTTCTGAACTAAATTAATTTGACATATATCCATCTATAAGATCTTTTTTAGAAAGCTTTTTAAGAGCAAATAAAAAACCTGTATTTGTATCTACACTTAAGAAAACTTCTGAGTGTTTTCCTTTTCCGAGTTTTTTAATTATTCTAAAATTATTTATACTATATCCTTAATTTATTTATACTAAATTATTATTATTTTCGGTTTTTTATTCATCTTCGAATTTATCTAATTAAATTGCACTTTTTATAATATTTTAAGGCTCGTTTTTCTAATTTTAAAAGTCAAAAACAAGGGATTTATTAGCAAGTTATTTCGGATATTTCAAAGAGATATTTAATTCTAAAGGATTTTATGAAATATCATTATTCTAAAAATTAAAAATTTACAATTGTCTTTATTATTGTTCTTAATCTGCTAAAAATATATCGTATTAACTTTTATCTACCTTATTAATACTTGGGGAATTCAAAATAGGAAAAATAACCGGACTATGTTAATAACTATTAGTATATTATTAAGAAATTTAATTCTATTAAGAAAGTGGGGGAGAATTAAGTACCTTATTTTAATATTCACTTTATAAAAGAGAAGCCTGAGTTTTCTTTTCATCTAAAATCACATTACTAACCTAACAACTATTTTCTATAAAATTATTATTCGTTTAAAAATTGAAATCAATTTAACTTAAATTATTTTATGAGCCTTATAATATTATTTAGGGTACTTATAATGCTTCATTTTGTACTTTTTCGAGGTCGTTAAAAGAATGATTTAAAGTATTAAAATTTACATAAGAGTTTATTATTTATTAAATATTATTATTGGTTTATGGATATTTTTCTTGTATATATTAATGTTCGAGATTGGTAAAACTTGATTTATATTAGTTTTCTAAACAAGGACTTATTTCAAAGGAATGGTCATTTTAGTGGGCTTAATATTATTAAGGCTATTATTATTGAAAATCGCAAAAAGATTTGTTTTTTTAATTATTTTCTAAGTCTATATATTCTAATTAATTATAGGTTGAAAATTGGTTTTTTGGATAATAATTTTAATTAAAAATTGCATTTTTTTATTCGTTTTATCTATATATATTTAAAGGAAATTTTTCTATATTTTATATATAACTTAATGTAGATCTTTTATCTTGTATAAAATTATCTTTTTCTGGTATTTCTTATTATAATTTTTGTTAAAATTGATAGTTTCCTAATTCTTGTTAAGACACTCTTTTAAGAATTTCCTCTACTTTTTTTTTGTCTCTTCTTTTTATCTAAGGCGACTAAAATCTTTTAATGGTATATTATCGCATTTAGATTTTTAAAAATAAGCTTCTTAGCTTTATTATTACAGGTTTTTAGATTAAGAATATTAATTATCCTGTATATTTGCATAAGTACGGTTATATTGTGGTAATTCAAGTTACTTCTGATATATTTTAGGGCTTTATTCAATAACTAATTGTTTCGAAAATGGCTATTATTTAGTAAATAATTGTTAGCTCATTATTGGAGTTTGACTTTCATATGTTTTTTAAGATTGAATTAGGGAATTTTCTGTGTATTTTCTTTAGAAGATTGAATATTGATTTTATTCTTTTTTTTATAATAATTTTGATGTTTAATTTTTATTTTATTTGTTTACTTTCTACATAAAGTGATAATTTAAATTGGGCTTATGTGCATATTTTTTTTTAATAATAATAAATATAGATTATTTTTAATTTAATTTACAATTTTTTTAATGAAATTTTGGCGTTAAGTTACCTTTTTTAGGCGTGTTTACCTAAATTTCAGCATCTTTTTTAAATTTAAAATCATCTAAAATTTTTAATGTTTCAGGTGAGATAAAATTTGTGTATTTCATTGTTTTTTTTATATTTAATTATTTTTATAATGTTTATTAGTTAATTTGTAAAATATATATATATATATATATATATATATATATATATATATATATATATATTTATATATATGTATTCATATGTTTTAATATATCAATTTTTTATAATTATTAATTTATTATGAGTTAATTAATATCCATTTAAAAATAAATAAAAGCATAAATATAATAATTTAATAAAAAATAATAAAATAATCATTAAAATTTTATTATTTATATATTGATAAATAAATAATATAATTATTTAATAATAAAAAATATATTTGTATTTATTTTATATATATAAATATATATATATATTTAAGAAAATACATATCAAATATTTTAAATTTATATATATATTTTTTTTTTTTATTTTTTAAATATACTTTAATTTTATTTTTTAAACTATTTTTATCTTAAATAAACTTTCTTTCATAATATTATATTAATTTTTTTTTTAATGAGTTATTAAATTATATATTTATTGATTTTTTAAAATAATTATTAATAATATTCTATTTCTTAATATAATTTTGTAAATAATTTAAAAAATAAATAAAATTAAAATTAAAAAATATAAAAAAAAATATATATATATAAAAAGATATTTGTATTAATATAAACAAATGAATAGAAAAATTGCTTCAGTTATAGTTTTCGGAGACATAGCTAGATCACCTAGAATGCAAAATCATGCAATATAATTATCTAAATATGGTTATTATGTATATTTTGTAGGATATGAAGGTAAAATAATATATAGTGATATCTTATTTTAACAAAAAATAATAACTATAAAAAAAGAAAACAAAGTTCATGATAAAATAAAAGAAAATAAAAATATTTAAATAATTGATATTTAATCATAAATAGTTAATAAATTAAAGAGACTTCCAAAAATATTATATTTAGTATATGCATTGTTTAGAATATTAATATAAATTTTATAGCTTTTTCATATTTATTTATTTTAAATACAAAAACCATAATTTGTAATAATTCAAGTAAATAAAATATAAATATATATATATATATATATATATATATATATATGTATTATATATATATATTTATTTATATGTATTATAAAAAGAATCCACCTTCTATTCCTGTACTTTCAACTTTATATGTTATTTGCCGACTGAAATAAATAAAAATGATTATAGATTTTCACAATTATGGTTTTACAATATTACAATTATCATTAAAAAACTCTTTAATATTTAGACTTGCAAAAAAATACGAAAAATATTTTGCTTCAAAATGTGATTAAGCATTTTGTGTTTCAAAATAAATGTAAAAAGACTTATCTTAAAATTGGTAAATAAAAGCATAAGTACTTTATGATAAAGCTAACCTTGAAGTCTTTTCTCCTTAAATTTTATCCGAAAATGAAAAGCCTTCTTTTTTGAAAAAACTAGGTTTTCTAAAATAAAAAAAGGACACTTTAATATTAATAAGTAGTACATCTTGGACAAAAGATGAAGATTTTAATATATTAATTGAAGCTATGGAAAAATACGAAAAATCAGACTATGTATATTCTTAAGAATCTTCTTATCCGAAACTTTGTTTATTTATTACAGGAAAAGGTCCGGAAAAAGAGAAATATGAATAGATTATTACTTAAAGATAAAGTACTTGGAAAAATATAATGATATAAACTGTTTGGCTTTAGCCTGAAGATTATCCGAAACTTTTAGTTTGCGCTGATTTTGGTATTTGTTTACACTATTCATCTTCAGGATTAGATTTGCCTATGAAAGTTGTGGATATGTTCTCATCTGGTTTACCTGTTTTTGCCATTGATTATGATTGGTATTTTGTTTGTTTATTTTGTCTGTTTAATTTTTATTTTATTTTTAGTATTCATGAATTAGTTGAAGATAAAAAAAATGGTTTTGTTTTTAAAAATTCTGATGATTTAGAATTATTATTTAAAGTTATTTTTTTTATTTTTTTTATTTTTTTTTAAAAAAAATTTATAAATAGAAATACTTTTAATATAATTAAGAAAATAAAAATTTAATCTAAAATTTATAAAAAAATGTTAAAGATTTTAGTAACTAAACTTTTGAAGAAGGTATTATTTATTTTATTCATAAAAAATAAACAAATAATATATATATATTAAACTATAAATAATTATATCTTTTTTTTTATAAGAATGGAAATAATAAGTATTACCAATAATAGAAAATATTAATTAAAATCATATAAAAAAAAATTGAAAAAAAAAAAAAAAAAAATCAAAATTAAGATATAAAATATTATAAATGGAAAAAAATTATTTATATCAGATTATTAATAAATTCTAATTTTTTGTTTTTTTATATTTTAATTTTATGGTTTTCTATTTTACAGTTTATAAATAATACCTTTTATTCGTTTAATCATAAGAAATTCTTTATTTGTCATTTCATTATGATTTCTATGATTATTTAATTTAATATATATAATATTTTGAGAACAAAACATTAATTGTGACTAAATTAAAAAGTTATTTAAGGCTATTTCTCTTATTATTAAGTACTGATATAATGGATATATATTTTAAAAAATATTATATATATGAATTAAACTTTTAATTTTACTCAAACAAATATTTTATCATATTAATTAATTTAATTATAAATTGATTTGTTTGTTTTTTAAGTTTCATTTATTTTAAAATTTATTAAGATAAGGGATAATATTATTTTTAAGAATTAAATTATTCTTATTATTATTAATTATTTATAGAGAAGGAAAATAATTTTTTGTATTTTATTTTGTTTGTAATCTTAATAAATACTTTATTAAATAATAAAAAAAGAGTTATATATTATTATGTTTAAAATAATTATTTAAGATTTATCATTATAATTGTTTTAAAGCATTTAAAAATTATATTTATGTTTATTTATTTTTGGTTGTTTTATTACAATAATTAAATATTTTATAAATTAAATAGTTTTTCTAAAAAAAAAAAATCATTTAGTATAAATTTAATATTTTATTTATTTTTTTATATAAAAATCTTTTTTATTCTAAACAGTTTATATATATTTTCAATTAAATATTAAATATATATATTTTATAAAGATTTTTTTTTTATTTATAATGATTTTTTTATATTCTTTAAGTTTTTTGCTTATTTTTTTTAATATTTCTAATTTATATACCTTAAATTGTTATTTCTTTGAAATATTTTAATCATTCAATTTTTGATGTGTCTAATAAATTCCATTTATACATAAATAAAATTTTATATTATATATATTTATTATTTATCTTTTTTTATAAATACAAAATACTTATTTTAAAATTTCTTATTCACTATTATCTTTAAAAATATTTATAGTAAAATATTTATATTGAAAGCGATTTAATTTAGAATTCTTAATATAAAAAAAAAAATTTTTCTGTTTAAATTCATTTAATATGATAAATTATTAATATCTATAATAACTATATATTAAATTATTTATATTTATAAATTAACTATGTTTATGTATGTTCAGATAAATTATAACTATTTATTTAAATATCTGTATTTGAAAAATACATTATTTTGTAAAATTTATATAATAATTTATTTTAAACAAAAACTTATATATTAATATTTTAATGAATATTAAAAAAGTTGATGAATGAATAAAAATAATAGACATAATGATATAATACAAAAAAATATTATTTCAATGTATTTTGTTATTAAAGTTTAATTTTACAATATTAAATACATATATATCAAAATATTTTATATAATTAAAAAGTATTTAATATTTCTTTATTTAATATTATTTGTTTTATATATTATAAATATTATAAAATATTATTTTATATAAAAAAAAATTAAATAGATTTATATTAATATTTGATATTAAATATAAACTATAATAAAAAATAATGTTTATATAATTTATAAATATAAATAATTTTTTTATATTAATTTGTTAAATATTTATTTTTTTATTAATTTTCTTTATTAAGATTAAGAAATAAATTTTATCAACAAAAGTATGTTAATTAATTAAGAATTTAAATAACAATAATAATTAAATATTATTTATAATTTTAATACAATTAATATTAATTTTATATTATATATATTTTATTTTATATAATTATTTTATATTATTATTTTTTATATTTATTTTTTTAAATAACTAATTATTATTTTTATAGATTATATATAAATATGGTAAAAATTCTTTTTTTAATTTTATTTTAAATTTAATTTAGCTTTTTTATATTTAGAATAAGAAAATATAAATATTAATAATTAATAATAAATAAAATAAATTAGAATTTATATATTAATATAATTAAATATATATATATATATTAATCTTATTTATTTTTTAATTATAGTTATAAACCATCTAAATATTTCTCTCAGTTATTTTATAAATAAAAATTCCATATTTTATTTTTATTAAATAAACAAAAAACATAAAAAATAAATTAAATCTCTTTTAAATCTAAAAAATAATATAAAAAAGTACATCAATTTATAAATATCCTGAGTAGAAATGTTGTAGAGATATACTTAAGATAAAATTTTATATGATCTTTTTTAATAATAAATAACTTAACAAAATCCTAATATAGAAGAGTAATAACTAGAATAATTAATAAACGAAAAAATATAGAATTGTGATTAAAATACATAATAGTAATGTCAAAAAATTACATAAAAAATAACATAAGAGTATAACAAACATAAAAAAAATACCTATTATATTATGTAAGATCTAAAATATTAACTTATTAACTAATTAAATGAAGATCTATAAATGAAAAATGAGAAATATAATATTGATTAAAATTTAGGTTAAAATAATATATATAATTCAAATGAAAACTTAAAAATATCACCTGAAGAAACTAAAATATCAATTAAAAATATATAAAAATAAAATTAAAATATTAAAATTTAAAATGAAGATGTAAAAACATCAAAAGAGAACATAAAAATATTAAATGAAATACTAAAAACTTAAAATGAAAAATTTAAAAAATAAAATAATAATTAAAAAAATAAAAATTAAAATAACTAAGATTTAATTTAAAAATCAAACAAATAATAAAAAATAATCAATAGTTTTGAAAAGTTTGAAAATTAAGTAAGAATATTAAAAAAGTTTAAATAATGAGAAAATATAAGAATTTTATAAATATTAAAAATAAATTAATAATATATAAGTATATATATATATATATATATATATATTTATATATATATATAATAATAATATTCATATTTATTTTGTTTTATATAAAATAATTTAAAAAAAAATATAATTTTATTTTAATATTTTAATATTTCTATTTATTTCTTTAATTCATATTTATTTTTTAATTTTTTTTTTTTTATCTTTTTTATTTTGTAATGGATTTCCAAAATCATCCTAATTATCATAATCAGCACTTATAGCATCCGATAGATTACTATCTATTTCATTTTTAGGCGATCTAATTATAAATAAAAATTAATTACATTATAATTTGATATAAAAATGTAAAAAGAATTTACTCTGATTTCCCTCCTTTATTTCCTTTTTTTTTTTTTATTCTTTTGCTTTTAATACCACTTAAATTTTAATAATTTATTTCCATATTTTCCTCTACTTTTTAACTAGCTGGAGATGTAAAAGAAGATAAGGAAAAAAGTCTTTCATGCTGATTTATTTTAGCTTTTTTTTATTACTGATTTTGATTTTTTGCTTATTTAGACGTTAAATAATTTTCCCAACCTTTTAATACATTTCCTAATTTTTAATAATTTATTGAGTACTTTCAAATGTAAAAAAATACCTGAATTATATGTTTCTTCTAAATATGTAGTTTCTAGATCATATATGTTTTTTTCTAATTATTTAAGTTCTTCTTCTAATTAACATTTTTTGTCGTTTTTGGATTATTCTGACATTATTATATGTATATTTTTAATTTAAATTAATAATAATTCTTTTAATTTATTTTTAAGATAAAATGAAATTTTATAATTTGATTTAAAAAAAATAAAATAAAATAAAAAATAATAATAAATAAATAAACAGAAATTAAAAGAGAAATATTAAAAAATTATTAATATATAAATAAATTAATAATCATTTTCTATATAAAAAAGCCTAATCATTTAAACTAATAATATCATATTCTGCGTTTTTTTTACTTTAATTTAATATAAAAGGATGTTATAAAGCATCATTTAATAATATTCTTTTTTTAGGATCTTTACAAAGCATTTTTTATATAAAATCAGCAGCATCAAATGATACAGGACCTCCAAATTAAACACTTCCATTAATAACTTTTCCAATTATAGCGTCATGATTTTAATTATAAAAAGGGCTTCTTCCAAATATTAATTCATAAGTTAAAATCCCTATACTCCAAACATCTACTGATTAATCGTAAGATTTACCTTAAGCCATTTCAGGACTTAAATAGTCTAATGTTCCACAAAATGTTTATCTCATTTAATCTTTTTAAATAATTCCGGCACATCCAAAATCACATAGTTTAATGACACCCTATTTATTTATAAGAAATATAATATAAATAATTATATATATATATAGTTAAATATATAAATTTTATATATATATATATATATATATATATATATATATTTATATATATAATTACATATATTATATCATTTTTATTAACATATATTAATATTAAATTAATATTCTTTATTTACATCACAAATCAATATATTTTCTGGTTTTATGTCTCTATGTATAAATCCTTATTAATGTACATAAAGAAGTATATGAATAATTTATTTTATATAATTAGAAACAGTTTATTCATTAAATCTTTTATTAACTTATGCTTATAATTCAGCAAATAATTCCTTTCCTGGTGCTATTTATTATATTATATTAATTGTATCATTTTCATAAAAATATCCATAGAGTTTTATAATATTAGGATGATCTAAAATTTATAGTGCTTTTAATTCATTTATTATATCTTCATATGCATCTAGCTTTTTTATATTTACTTTTTTTATTTACTTTATCGCTACTTTAAATCCTGTTTATTTTTCCCTTAAAAATTGTTTTATAAGATAATATATATATATATAAATATATATGTATATATATATATATATATAAATATATATATATATATATATATATATATATATATATACATATTTATATATGCTTAAAATATTTTTTACATTGCAATATACACATCACCAAATTTTCCTGATCCTAATTTTTTACCGAAAACGAAAGAATCCATTGATATTTAATTTTATTATATTTTTTTTTCCGAAGGAAATAATGATTATGCTTTTTCGTTATATATAGGTATTCTTTCTTCAAAAACAAGCCTATCTATATTATCGGATTAATTCTATTATAAATTTGGTTACATTTGTTGTATATTAGGAGGTTTTTCAAATGCTTTTGGAGATAATTTTGGTGATGTAAGAATTAATATTTATTAAGAATAGTTTTATTCAAATATTTTTTATTATTATTTTTTAGATATTTAATCATTATTAATTTCAAATTAATTGCCTATTGGCAATAAATCTAAATTATTTTTTATTTCTTATTTTTATTGAATAAATTATTGGTTATTGTCGACATTTTTATCTTTAAAATCATTCACAATAACTTTATTTTAATCTAAAAAATCAATTTTATCTTTAGGAGTATGTGCATAAACTTTTTAGGCTAATGTATTTTCAGACTGATAAGAAATCGAGTTTAATATAGGCTATCTTGTAGGACTTAAGGCGCCTTTTAGTTATTGTTTAGAATTTATATAATTTAATTCAAAGTTTAATTATTAAAATTGTTATTAAATTTATTCTATAAAAAAAATAAGTTCGGGAATTTATTTTGGATTAATTTAAAGTTATGTTTTATGTATAAATTCTTATAAGTTAGAATGGAATAACTATAAATTAAATTATATATTTTGCTAATCGTTTATATAAAATAAATTAGACATATTTAAATAATATATATATAAATATAATTTTTAAGAATTAATTTTATTTTAATAAAATATTTATTTATTTTTATTTAATATAAAATATATTATATATATATATATATATAATATATATTTATATATTTTTAATATGTTATTAATAATATCTTTTTTTATAAAAAACACTATTTATTTTCATATTTTATATTTTATTTTTTAATTTATTATATTTTTCATTTTTATATTGTTTTTATGCATTTTTAAAGTAATATTTTTTTATCAAATTCTTATCCAAACAAATTTTTCATTTCCTTTATTTTTAATTTTAAATATTTAATTTATTTATATTTTTTTTTACTTCTAAAAATTAATCAAAATTAACTTATTTATTAGTATTAAAATCATCTTATACATATATAATTGTATCTTTTATAACCAATAAATCTATATTTAAATCAACAATTTATTATTGTAAAGGAGTTTCAGCTTAAATATATTTTTCAAATAAATCATTTATATTTAATGACTATGTTTCTATTTATTAATTATAAATTATTGCTTCATCTATTAATTCATTAACTTCTGTTTATTTTTCATCTATATCTTTACTTGTTCTACTTAGAATCTATTCTTTTTATTATAAAATATTATTATAATCTATTTAATCAATTAAAATATTTTTTATTTCTTTTAAATCTTTATCTAAATTTTTAAGTTATGATATTTGTAATTCTTTGACTATTTTATTTTTTAAAATAATATAATTATAAAAATAACCTATTATAAGTAACGCATATTCTGTACTATTTTAATTATACATTTATAAAATTTACTATATAGAAATGTTATCAAAATTAAACAATTAATATTTTTATGTTGTTTTCAATTATTATTTATTATTATCTACTAGATCTGAACCAAGTAAAGGATTATTAAAATCAATTTATATATCATATTTTTTTTCGATATTTAAGTTTTGATAATTGTTATATAAATTAAAATTTACCTTTTTTTTTTTATTTTTTCCTTATATATATATATATATATATATATTATATATATATATATATATATATATATTTACTTATTATAGATTAATGTTTTCTGTATTATATTAATTTACATGTTATACTTATTATAGTTATATTTATTATTATTATTGGTTTTAATATATTTATTATGGATATTGTTATTAATATTAATAATTTTATTATATTTATTGGAATGGAATATATTTTATAAGAGTATCTTTCAAATCATTTAATAATATTAACTTATTTTAATATTTTTTAGTTATTTTATTTAAAATTTATTTTTTTACTATATTACGATGATTATTCCAATTTTTTTATTATTCTAAACTAACCTTATAATGTATTTCATTTTATTTTCCTTATAAATAATAACTATTAACTATATATTTTTATGCTTTTTTATTATTAAAAAAAAAATATATGTTATCTTTTTTTAACAAAAAATTAAATAATATTTACGGTCCGTATTTAATATATAAAATTAAGGTGCCGCTGTAGGATAAAATATAGGAAAAACAATTTAAATATATACTTGAAAATTTTATCTTAAAGTATTTATAGTTACTTATTTTGTTTAAATTATAAATATATATATATATATATATATATATATATATATATATATATATATATATATATATATATATATTCTTTAATTTTTTATTATTTTATTACTATTTCCTGATAACATTATTAACTTTTGATGCTATCCTTTATATTTAATAATCTAATATTATTTAAAAGTAAAAATATAAATGATACCGAATTGAAATTATTAAGCTTTTAATTAATATAGTTACAATATCTTTTATATACTATCAAATACTTAATTACTATTTTAATAAAAAATATAAAATAAGAATTCTATAATTATTTTTTTTAAATGAAAATTTACACGCTTTAATAATTAGAAATTTTTAATTTTTATTTTATATCATCGATCTGTTCTTTAGTAAGCTTTTAAATTTATTATTACATCATTATAATTTATTTTTACAATTTTTTAAAATAATTAATTAATTAATATATATATTAGTATTATAAAAATAATATCAATATAATATTAAAGAAAAAAAAAAAAAAAAAATATAAAAATTATAAAAATATATATTTTCTTATTTTAAGATTAGTAAATATTTTTTTTATTTTTTATTTTTTTTCTTCTTTCTTATCAGTAAAAAATATTCAAAAAATAATATCCTTTATATTCTTATATTTATATTCTAAAATAGCATACTTTAAATTTATATTTTCTATAAATTTATTTTGATTAATTGTTTCTCTTGTTATAGGATCATTTCTACCATTGACTTGTATATGTTCCAAGAGAAGACTTTTTTCATAGCTTAATCCACTATTTGAAATAATAGGTTCATTCATTAATTCCTATTATAAATTTATAGGTTATATATAAGTAAATTTATATATATATATATATATATATATTTTTTTTTATTTTTTTTTCATTTTTTTTTAAATCAATTAATATAATTTAAGTAACCCAAGTAAAAACACACTAATATGATTAAAAAGGTATATTATTAGTTGAATTATATTATTCAAGCATTTAATTAACAGTATTTTATGTTTAAATATCATCTTTTAATAAATTCTATAGTATTTATTTACATTTTTTTATTTTGTTTTCTTTTTCTTGTTTTTTTATTATATTTAATATTATATTAGCTTTTAAAATATTCTCTTCTATGTTTTATATCAAATCAATATTCTCTTTTTTTTTATTTTTAATTATTTCTATTGCTGGTTAATATTAAAATAAATATGAAAACAATTAATTAATATTTTTTTAATACAAACCTTATTATATACTTTGTATTCCTTCGAGTACTGCTTATTATATTTGATAATTATTTTCTATAGCAATTTTTATTTATGAAATTCCTTTCAAGCTAAATCCTTTAAAATTATTAATGTCAAGTTATATTGCTAATAATGAATCATTATAAACCTTGTTTTATATTAGAAAAAAATAAATATATATTTTTCGTTTAAATTAATAAGTAAAAAAAAAAAATATTTAAAAATAAATAAATGCATACTTACGGCCAATTTTATAATGCTTTATAACATAAAGCTCTATTTGTAAAATAATGTGAATCTTAATGAAATTCCTTTTTTTTAAAAAAATAAAAATAAAAAAAGGAATTAATTTTTATCTGCTTTTATTTAATTTATTTTACTATTGCTTTCGTATAATATTCTATTGCTTTTGTATATTATTTGCTTTTGAACATTTAGTTTCCTAAGTTTTTTAGTTTAATAGAGTCTTCTTTTTAAATTGGTTATCTTTCATTATTAAAGGATTGTTCTGGCATTTCATAATGCTGTTTTTTATTTACATTATTTTATATTATATATATATATATTTTATTGATTAATATTTGCCTCGTTTTATAAATACTTGTTTTTATTGTACTTTTTATTTATTATTCTATTGCTTACATATTTTTAAACAGCATCCCATTAAAAATTGAAAATATATAAATAAATATAATATTTTAATATTAATTAAGGTAATATTTTTATTTTTGATTAATGAGTTATTAAAAAAAAAAAATTCAACTAAATATTATAGTTTTTTAATAAATATATATAATATAAAATTATTAATACTCATATTTTAAAATTTTATACATTTTTATTATTTTTGAAAAAAAAAAAAAAATATATATATATATATATATATATATGAATCTTGCACATTCTTTAAAGTTATAGAAAAATTCAGTTTAACAATTTATTAATTTAAAAAAAATAAAATTAAAATAAATAAAAAAATTAATAGAAAAAATAAGAAAATTAAAATAATAATATTTTAATAAATATCTATTATAAAATAATATTAATTATTTGAATTTATATTATAAAGAGAATAAATAATTTAAATAAATATATAATTAATTAATAATAAATAATATAATAAAAAAATGGAGTCTGACCAAAATAATTACCAAATGAACCTATTATTTGAAATAAGTTCATGCACACTAACCCATACATAAAATAACTAAAAGCAAAGTGAAAAAAAGGGCATTTTAGCCATATATCATCTTGAAAAACTAAATCTGTATGTATTAAAATTACAAGAATTTCAATATTCACTTTCCAAATAAATTCCAGTAATGAAAAAACCTCATTTAAACTCCTATGTATTTCCCTAAGAAAATTCTAAATTTTCCTTATTGACAATTCCTAAAGAAACACCTTTATAATAAGTATAATATTTCGAATAAATATTATAACAAAACAGCGATTTTTTAATATCCGAAGATATAGCAGAAACAGAAAAAAAATAACAAAATTGGGACAATCTTACACCATCGAAAAAAATATAAGGTTATTTATATAAAGGAGGGGATTTTATAAAGGCTGGAATAATAACAGGGGCTGGTTATTTGGCTTAAGGAATATAGGAAGGTGGATAGTATATTTAGGCAAAAGTGACGAAAAAAGAAGAAGTTATTATTAAACCAGAAACTGTTTAGAAAGTTAAATTAGCAAATGTTACTTCTTCGGCAGTTTTAAATTTTACAAAAGCTTAAGTAGAGGGATTGCTATAAGGAGTTAAGGTTATTGGTAATGAAATTGCTAATTAAGCAGCTAATTCGGAAACTGGAAAGAAAATTTAATCTCATAAAAATTACTAGGATGTTAAAAATGTAACTAAAGGAGCAGTTAATGCAGTAGCTAATGTATATGAAGGAATGTATTAGGCACTCTGTTTGATTGGAAGGGGAATTTAAGGTGCTACTACAGGGGTTATAGGGGCTAAATATGGAGATGATGCGGCTAAAATAGCCAATGATGGATTAGATGTGGTGGGAAACGTGGGAGATATGGGAAGAATAACAAAAAATGGAGCTATTAAGGCTGTTTAAGATTGTACTTAGAGTACTTTTTATCATGGAGGGAAATAATGAGAAATATGTTTTGTTTATTATTATTTAAAGATATATTTCTTAAAAATTGTAAAAAAAAAAAAAAACATATTTTATATTAATTAAATTTAAGTTAAAATTTACTTCTTTTTATTTATTTATTTTTTTTTAAAAAAAAATATTTTATATTAATAATAATAAAAAAAAAAATGAATAAAATATTTACAAACGAAGAACTTTTTTAATTTCGTGAAAAAATACTTCTAAAAACACAAGAAAAATAAACTTTTTAAATTTTATAAAACCTTTTAGAAGCTAAAATAACTCCCGAATAAATGCAAAATACTAAAATAGGATCTGCAGTATAAAAATTATGTAAAAATCAAGAATAAAAAAATGAAATTCCGGAAAATATATAATTAATATCAAAACAAATATTACATAAATGGAAAAATATTATAAATAAATCCAAAAAAAAAAATGATTCTTATAATTCTTCCAGTTTAACTTATATTCCTTCTCTTTAGAAAATTAAAAGTAAAGAAAACAATTCTTCTAATTTACTAATTTTAGAAAAGCCTATATATACAGAAGGTATTATGGATCAATTACCTAAATTTGGATCAAATGAAGATGTTAGAAATAAAGGATTATAAGCTATTTTTATGAAATTTAAAGAATGTGATTAAGATAAAGCGGACATAGTAAAAATTAGTGTTAATTTAGAAGAAAAAATAGCACATAAAAATTCTTAAGTTGAAGTATATAAAAAAAATATTAAGGAAGTTTTAGGAATGCTTTCTAATTATTAAGTTATATAAGAAGTTTTAAAAGGAATTTTATAAGAAAAAATAAGTATAAAGGATGTTGCGGAATGTAAATCTTCTGTTTTTATGCTATAGAAAGAAAAAGAAGAAAATTTATAGCAATTATAAACTGAATTTGAAGTATTAGATCCAGAATTTTATAATAAATTAAGAAGAAAAAACTTAGTTGGCTTAGAAGGAGAGAAATGTAGAAATTGTAAAAAATTAACAGCTTTTTTAGTAAAAGAATTGTAAACAAGAGCAGCTGATGAACCTATGACAAGATTTATGGAATGTAATAGTTGTAAAAAAAAATGGAAAGAATGATTTTTTAATCAAATATATATTTTATATATATAAAAAAAAAGTATAGATATATAAATATATAAATATATAAATATATATAATTAATTTGAAATTTATTTATTTATATATATAAGTATAATATTATAAAGATATTTAAATATTAAAATTTTCTTTAATATTTATAAGCTTATTTATATTTAAAAAATAAAATAAAATTATTTTAAATCTTATTTTATTGTAATATAAAATAAATTAAAATAATTATAATAATAATAAAAATAATAATAATAATAATAATAATAATAATAATAATAATAATAATAATAATTATAATAATATCAATAATTTATAATATTTTTTTATTATACTCATTTTTAGCTAAATATTTAATTATAATTTTTTTTTTATTTTACCAATTTAATTTTATATATTAATATACTTTGTAATTAAATAATTAATTTTTTATATATAATTATATTATTATTTTTTTATATTAATAAATCTTATTATTATTATTATATTTTTTTAAAAAAAATTATATTCTTATTAATTTTATATTATATTTATATATAGATTTAATATCTTTATTTTTTATTTATATTATATTTTTTGTTTAATCAATTTGATTTTTTAAATTTTTATTATTATATTTGTCTTTTTGTTAATAAATTTATAATTAATAATTTTTTTATATTTTCTTTTTTATTTTATTTTATTTTATTTAATAATTTTTTTTATATATCTTATAATCAAATACAAATATTTATTAATTTTCAATTATTTTTTTAGAAATATATAATAATTTTTTATATTATTAATAAACAAATTTTTGTTTAATATATTTTATATTATCTTATTTTTTTTGAATTATTTACTTAATTTAAATATACTTTTTATTTTATGTTTAGAATTAGTTTTTGTTTATAGTTTATGTTTTCATAATTTTTATTATATATATTTGTATATTTTTTATATGTTAATTATAAAAAAATTATATAAATTTTGATATTTTTTCTATTTTCATTATATTAAAGTTAGTTTTAATCTCAAGAAAAATTGATTCTTTTAATTAATATATTATATATAAACTATTTGTTATAAATTATTATTATTTAATTGAATTTATTAATTTATTTTTATTTTTCAGATTTAATAAAAATATAATTATTATTATTCATTTTAATAATTTATATATTTTAATTTTTTTGTTATTATTTATATAATTTTTATAAAAGCCTTAATTTTGTTTATTATTTTTAAAAAATTATATAAATTACGGTAATTTTTATGATTTATGCATTTTTTTATTTAATTTAGAAAATATAAAATAATACATAAATAAAAAAATAATTTTGAATTCTTTTTATTTTAAAAAAATATTATTAATTTTATAAAAATAAAAAATTCAATCAAATTCACAAAAAAATAAACTTTTTTTTATTTTTTATATAAAAATTTAAAAATTAAAATAGTTTTGTTATTTTTTAATTTTTTTTATAATTTAATTTTTTTTTTTTTGGAATTATTAATTTTATATTATTTTTAATCATAAAAAATAAAAAATGTATTGAATACTATATATAGAATTTATAATATATGCATTATATTTTTATTATTATCTTAAATATAATCAAAAAAATTTTTAAATTGTTTTATGTTAATTTTATTTTTATATAAAATTCCTTAAAAATATATATATTTAATTTCAAATTAGTATATTAAGATTTATAAGTTTTAATAAAAAATATTTAGTATTATTATAATAGATTTTGTTAATTAAAGAATATAAAAATGTTAATAAATTGATGGAAATTATAAAATTACACAAATATAAGTTTAAATATAAATAAATTTAATAATGTATATTTTATTATTTTTGCTTTAATTATTAAAAAAATTAATTTTTTTTTTAAATTAAATAGGCAAATATTTAAAATAATAATGATTACTATCAGAAATTAATAATAAAAAAATAAAACAACCAAAATTATAATTAATTTTATAAACGATTTTATAAATAGTATTTAAATTAAAAAGAATCTTTTTATTTAATTAAAAAAATTAAAATATATACTAAAAAATAACTATATATTTTATAAAAATAATAAATTATATATATATATATATATATATGTATTTAAATACTTATAAAATAATTAAATATAAATATTTTTAAATTATAAACATATATTAGATTTTTATTTATTTTTAAAATAATTTAATTTTTATATAAAAAAGTATTTATCATTAAATATATTTTATAAAATAAAGAAAAAACTAATAAAATAATATAATTAAAAAATATATAATTTATAATTTTCTTTGATATAATATAATATATTATTTTATATATATATCTTATTTAAAATATTATATTCTAAATTCAATATAGTAAATAAATTGAAAATTTGATTTAAAATCATAATTTTTTATTTAATTATATCCTATATTATAATTGTATCTTAAATAAAAAAATATATATAAAATTAAATTATATTTTTTAATTTATATATTTTTAACTATTAGCTATTTTTTTTTTAAATAATTTTTATGAATTATATCAAATACAAGTTTATTATAACATTATTTTTTTATTTAATAAAAACAAAAAAGATTTATATTTATTCTTGTATATTTTTTATTATAACGGAATTTTACTAAATTAAAAAGAAGAAAAAAATCAAATTTAAAAAAAAGTTAAAATAAAAAATAAAGTTAAATGTCAGTTAATTTTTAAATTAGAGCTTAAAACAAAATAAATTATACAAATAACTTATCGAATAGTTAATAAGTAAATAACACGATAGATGAATTAAACAAAAATTATATATTATCTTAAAATACAATTGATAAATTAAAATAGCCAAAATACTTAGCCAAACGTTCATCATTAAAAAGAAACACATTAAATTTAACATCAAAGCTTAATGAATTTAGTTAAAAATATTGCAAAAATAAAAATTCTTAGGAGGAAAAACAAAATAATTAAGAAAATATTAATATTTTATCTCATAATAAAAAAAATAAAATAGTTAAGTATTCAAAAAAAAACTATTATGTAAAAAAATCAAAATAGTATTTAAAGTTCTTCAAATTCAGAAAGTTCATCATTAGAATTAAAAGAAGATAAATTTTAGTATTTTTTAAATTTATTAATTTTAAAAAAAATTAAAAAACAGGAAAAAAATATAGTTTAGTGTTGACTTATTACTTAATTGTATAAGAAATAATTAATAAAAATTAGAAGACAAAATGTTAAATTTTTAATTATAAATATAAAAAATAAAAAAATAAAATAGATAATAAATAAAATTATTAGACCCTATGAACATTATATTTTTTTTAATTTATTTTAATTCAGTCAATAATAAAAATAATTTTAAGTTCTTTTTATTCATAAATAAATATATAAATTATATATATATTTATATATATAAATATATATATATATTTATATATTTAATTATTTATTTTTTATATATTATTTTTTAATTATTATTAAGGTAATTATTTTTATATTGTAAATAAAATCTGTTAAATAAAGATTTAAACTTTTTATTCTAATACAAAGCGCATTAATATCTTAAGGAAATATAATAAAGTTAAATTTTAATAATAGAAAAACTATTTCTTCATAACTTTTTAGAAAATAAAAGTTAGGCTTTAGATTTTTTAAAACAGGCATTTTTAGATTAATTGTAAGATATTTTTAACTGCTCTTTATTATTTTAATACATTGATGAATTTTTGTAAAAATAATTCAAAATATATAAAAATAAAATAAAAAAAAGAATAATAATAAATGAAATTAATGTCTAATAAATAAATTTATAATCTTTAAAAATAAACTAAAAAATACTCAAATTTACTTTAAATAATGAAGACGAAAAAATAGTAAAATTATACTTAAAATATTAATTTGAAATAGTTATGGATAATGATAGCCAAATTTACAATTTTATTTAATAAAATTAATTTTAACATTAAAATGAAACTTTAAAAACTATAATTAATCCACTTCTTCTTTTAAATTATTATACAGTGGAATATTTTTCCGCTAAAATGCTTAGGTTTTTTTTTTTTTTATAAAATATAACATAATAAATTAGATTAATTATTTAAGATATTGATTTAGAATATAATTATAATAAGATAATATTATAGCATTGTATTAAATATCATTTGAATCCTTTAAGCAAGTATACATAAATAATTATATTATATTATTTTTAAATAGAATAATTTTTAAAAAAATAAATAAAAAAAATACATATTTTGATAATTAGATATTTCAAACCTGTATATAAAATTTAAACTTTTAATTCCTGTTTTATTATTTGAATAAAATAAGAACAAAAGTATGGAGTTGGCTAGAAGAAAAAGATAATCAAAAAGCACTTGTAAGAGCTTCTATAAAATCAAAAGGAAAAAACTTTGAATGCTTAATTTTCTTTTTATCTAAAATAGAACTTTGGAGTTCAAAAGATTTAATTTAATCACTTTCGGAAACACTTTATGAAAGACTAGAATGTGAAAATAGTGATAATAATTTTTTATTTACTTTTGGAAATCCTTTAAAAGTAGTAGTTTTGATAATAGAGCTCTTAAATATTACTATAAAGCATATTTTTTATTAAAAAATATGCTATTAAAGTTATTTATTTAAAATAAAATATATAAATATTTTTTATTTATTTTTAATAATTATAATAAAAAATAGAGCCTAAAAAAGATATTTATAATTTGCTCAAAAAATCATAAAAACATAAATTGATGAAGATTAAATGTATGAATTATTAGTCGACATAGACTTATAAGGACGTAAACTTTTACATATTATATACGAAAACTCACTCCATGATATAATTGCTGATGATAAAGTATAAGATATAATAGAAATAATATGGAATGGAAACAATTCTTCTACAAACAATATGTAATATTGTAATTAATTTATTTAATTATATATATAAAAAAAAGAACTAGTTTTATATCTATAAGTTAAAATATATTCCAAAACATAAATCGTTAATTAAAAAGCGAATAAAATTATTTTTATCCATTCGTTGATAAATATAAGAATGAATAATATATAGTAAAAAAGATGTATGGATTTAATGTATAAAATTCCGTCATTATTTCAATGAAGGAACAGCCTTAATTTTCATTCTTCTCTACATAATTTATTTTTTGGAAGTTTTTAATATTTTCCGTTAAGGAATTTTACCTCTAGACCCTAATTTAGAAATTCAAAAAAATACAATTATTCTGATAAAAGATAAAGCCTTAAAATGGATTTTTGTCCCTTTGTTTTTTGCATAAACGTGCCTTTAAATTCTATTGTAAAGATTATTTATTTAAAAGAATATGAAAAAAATATCAAGTTTAATTCTTCTTAGGTCATAGATTTTATTGTTGCAGTCCTAGCTCTTTATTAGTTAATTTTAATTTATCTTTTAGACCAAAATAATACTTCTATGGCAGAAATCGAGTTCAAAATAATCCATTTTTCCTTAATTTTATTTTGTTTTTTAAAAGCTATATTTTGCTTCTCGGCTACTTAGTCCTTTGGGCCTTTATTATAGGCTTTGATTTTTATTTTTAAGGAATGTGCGAAATTCTTGGTAGTTTTTATTACTAATTTGATTCTTTTTACCTTTGTAGGGTACGTGAATTTCACCCAATTAAAAACTTAAAGATTCGATACTTTTTTTAACTCCTTACTATATTTAATTGAGACTATGTTTGGACAATTTTCTTTTGAGGATTTCGAAGAATTATATCCTATATAAGGTCCAGTGTTCCTTTTTTTATTCCTTTTTGTAATCGCAATCCTTTTTATGAATGTATTAACTTCAATTTTGGCTTTTACTTTTGAAAAAGCAAATAGATAGGGTAAAATTTTCCATTATAAGCATATTATTATGCATATAAGAACCGAAAACTACCATTGGAAATATGGATGCTTAGTTATTATGCCTTTAATATTTTAGTTTACGTTAATTCCTTATTTAATTATTAAAAAAATAGTAAATTCGAATTCTAAAATAATTAATAAATTGGGAGAATTTTATGTTTCTTTGGCTTATTTTCCTATTCTTTTTTTGACAATTTTAGTTGTTTTTTTACTCAATTTAGCGTTGGTTCCGATCGGGTATTTAAAGAATTTTTTTTAGTTAATTTCTTTGTTTGTAAAATAAAAAATTAAAGGACTTTTATTAATTAAATGGCTTTTTTTTGGAAATTTAATTCTCATTTAAAGACTTGTTTTTATAGAATTGAAGGAGTTTTATATTTATTTAAAATCTAAAAGGGAAAAAGAAGATACATAAAAAAAAAATTTTGATGATGCCTTTATTTTGGTTTTCCATACTATAGTTAAAATGCATCAATAAGATTGCTTATATACTACTTTAGGGGAAATTTTTCGAAAAACTAAACACTACATATAGATTAATAGGATTTAGAAAAAAGACTGCGATATAGATCCTAACTAGTTAATTGGGGTTAATTTACTTCGGAAACAATCTATTGTTTAGGCAGAAGGAGGATATAACTAATCTTCTTAGTATATTCATAACTTTAATACATCTAAGAAATAAAGTTTGACAAATAAATAGATGGCTTTTTATAAAAATTAGGATATATAGAATAATATTAAGGGGAATAATAATTAATAAGTATCTGATATTAACAAAATTAAAGTAAAGAGTATTTTCGAAAATGTTCCTGAGATGGAAAATGCAGAAGAGATTTATGAATATTTAGAAAAATTCTCGTTTAAAACTACTATGGATGGTGATAGGAGAGATAGTGTTATTAATATTAGTAATATTTTGAAATTACATGATAATTATTAAAGAAAAGAATTAAAAGTAGTTATTCATAGTTAAATTTATAAAACTTTGAAAAATTTTTGAAAAATAAAAACAAAAAAAATATATTTTAAAAATATATTATTTATTTGTATGCAATTTTTTATTTTTATTTTTATTTTCAATTATTTTATATATTATTATTATTTAAAACACTTTCTTTTTAATTTTACATTTATGAATCTTCTTCTTATTCTCCATTATTTAAAACTTTCCAAATTAAAATACATCTATCTTTTTAAGAACTAGTCACTAAGTAGTTTTTATCAGGGCTCATAACACATTAATTAATGTAATTTAGATGATCTGTATATAAATTAAAGTACCCGTTACCAGAACTATCACATGGGTAGTTATAAATTCTTATAGAGCCCATTTCATCTGTTACTGCTATTTATTTATCACCAAGTCTTTATATTTTGAGTATTTTATTTTCATCAGAATAATAAGTGTAAACCCCTTTTATATTAGATGAAACTTTTATACCATCTGTACACCATTCCATTTCGAATTCAACTTAGTCTTTTGTTATCTTTTTAAAGTCTTGGTTTTTAAAGTCTATAATTTCAACATCTTCGAAATTATCTTTATATAACAAAAAAAAATTATCAGTTGAAAAATCTATAAATTCTAAAGAAGTGGACAATGTATTTACTACTTTAAATTACTTTATTAATTTATATAAAAAAACAAAATAAAAAAAATAAAAATATTTATTTAAATATTAATATATTAATATAATATATAAATATATATATATATATTAATTATATATAGATGTATTTATATATATTTAATATTTATATCTTTTAATTTATATATATATATTTTACTTCATATATTTTAGTTGTAGATGGATCAAGTTTATAAATTTCAATTTAAGCATTTTTTTATTCATTTGGATCAAGTGCTACAGCTAATATTTCTTCATTAAATGAGATTTTAATATCTGCAATTTTAGTTTTATAATTAATATTTTAAGCTATATTTAAATAATTAATAGAGTCTAAAAAGATTATTTTTTTTTCAAAAGCAATTATGATTATTTAATGTTTTTTAAGTACAAGTAGTGAATGTACTTACAAATGGAAATGTTTTGAATATATTCTTTTTATTTTTTAAATTACCAAACACATAATAACCCGCTTTCAGTTATTGAATATAAATTATCACTTGTACCGTTAAATTATATAGATTTAACTATTTCTTAATCATGACAAATTGAACGCAACTTAACTAATGAATTATTTCCTCTAGTAAATTATTTAATCTCGTTTTCATGAGGTCTTATTAATTCGTAAATATCTCCACTTTTTGTACCAGTGAGTATATATTTAGAACCTATACATACAGATTAAATACAGTTTTCTGCAGGATCTCTATCGATATTTTATGGATTGATATAATATTCATAAAATTTCTCAAGTATATAATTATATTCTGAACTTCCTAATTCCCATATTATTACTTTACCATCCATTCCTCCTAAATTAAATATAATAAAAAAAAACAAAACAAAAATATACACATAAATAAATATATATGAATAATATATATAAATATAAATATAATTAAATATTTATATATATTTATTTTATCTAAATTTAATTATTTAAATTTATAATAAAATTATATAAACCTGAAGCAAACATAGTACTATCTTTAGTAGTATTTAAACATAAAATAGGTGTTTTAGGATGTGCATTTTATTTTTTGACTACCTTCATATTATCCCAAACATAAAGAAATCCATCATTTCCTGCTGTTTAATTGTTTCATTTACAAAAATAAGTGCTAAGAAAGTTACTTTTAGAGGTTTTTTATTCTAATCATCATCTGATTCATCGTTTTCATATTAAACCTTTTTCATATTTTATACATAATATTATTATTAAGATCATCTTTTTTATTATTCTCATCATTAAACTCAATTATATCACTCGGGTTTTCTATTTCTAGACTTGCATAAGATAAAACTCCGCCTTTTAAACTCCAAACAACCAAATGTTATATTCCACAAGTTATAAATTTATAAATACAATTTGGGAAAAATTAAACGTCTTTAATTTTGAAAGGAATGGAATACGGCATATTTGCACAACCCAAAATTTTCACGTCTTAAGTATCTATCAAATATATAATCAATGTACATTCATTTGTAATCGCAATACATATAATATGTCTGTTGTCATAAGCGAACTTTATGTGCAAAATATAACTCGAATTTGTCAAATGCATTTACTTTAAACATGTTTGAGAACATATGTCCCATATAATAATCTAGGCATTTGTTTATATTGTACCTGCACATAGAAGCTTTTTATCCCTAGAAAGAACAAAACACGAAATTTCAGGGTCTATCGATTTAAAGGATTTATCTAATTTTATAAATTCCTATACTATTTATATTTCGTGAGAATCGGAAACGTTAGATGAGTTAAGTGATTTATTTTTAATTTAGTCTTTTTCTTCTAGTTAATGAGAGATGTCTTATTTTTGCGTTTTTTCTTCTTCTTGGTCTTCTTCTTCTTTTTCTTCTTATTGTTCCGAAATTGTATGTATTATTAAATTACTCCCTGCTATATAGATAAATCTCTCATCAAAATCATAGAACAAGTTTTAGTGTCTATTATGAGCTTTTCGGCCTATTATATTGATTAGTTATAGACAAGGGGATGTGTTATGTTCTTTATCAATATTAGTGATGGCATCTGCGATTTAGTTTCTTAAAGGAAGTACATTTTTTAGTAGAGATTCGAATTATTCCTTAGGTAGAATTTCTGAAAGGATTTTTTATTCAGGAGAAATTGCAGCTTCTTATTCATCGAAAAAATCGTAGTTTAAATTATCGAAGTCCCAAAAAGGATTTTCTTGAGTAATTTTCCATTTCATAATACATTCGTCTTTTATGCCTGTAGAAAATAAATTATTATTTTAATATTCGAGTTGGTTAATGTATGAAATGTGTCCAGAATAACTTTTTGCTAGTACTTAGTTATCTTTTTGATTGTTTTCGTAAATCTCTTTAGAAAATTGCTAAAGACAGTTTTATTTTACGAAATGAATATCACCTTTCTAACTTCCAAGTATTAAAGAATTTTTTATTTAATTCATAATACTCATAAGGGGTTATTGGGTGCTTATGTGGTGTTCTTTTCTTTATTCTTCTTACTATTAGAGTATAGATTGATATTAAATATATTAAGAATTTAAAGAATTTGCAAAAATACAAGATTACCATTAAGTATTTTTTAGTAAGTCAAAGTTTTTTATAATTTCTTTACGATCGATGTCCCAGACTATGTATTAGCCATTAGTATCGTTATTTTAGCGGATTTGAAAATTATCAATATCTTAATAATAAGCTAGAAGATATTAAGAGTCTTATGAAAAAGTCATAAAATAGACTAATTAAGATGAATTTATAGAATTAAAATCACATTTAAGAATATCTTTTAATTTGAATTATTTATCTTTTGTAGATTTTATTTATTAATTATTATTATAATTATTATTGTTTATTATACTATGTTTTTTATTTCTTATGTTTGTTTATTAACATCTATAAATTCCAATAAAACTAAGATCTCTTTCTCCATTTATATCAATTATGTTTTTTGTAGAAGCTTCGAAAGAAACTGCGAAAGTATCCATATCAGAAAGATCAAATTCAATATTTAAAACAATCGCTTTATTTTATTTATCATTAATTATTTACATTTATTCTATTATTGGGATTGCTCTTTTATCATTTTTGGAAAATTTGTTTTAAAGTATTTATATAGAAAATATTATTATAATTCCATTTGTAAATCCTATTATTATATATTCTCCATCTGGAGAAAATTTGACAACAGAAGGAGTTCCTTAATCCAGATATTGCTAATATATAAGTAAATTATTTTCGCAATCAAACATTGATAATTATTAGTCTTCTCCTACTGAAAGCATTAGTTTTTCTGAAGGATGAATAGAAATAGATATTTTTTTATTAGATTGTTTTAAAGAAAATTTCTGAGAAGAATGAAATCGTAAATAAATATCATAGTTGAACCTAAAATTTTCCGTTTGTCCATAGTTTTCCCCTTTTTTTTAAGAAATTATTTTATTAGTGTCTTCTTCTTCATTTGATGAATTAGAACTGGCCTAACTTGAACTTGACATTTCTTAATAATTTTATTTCTAATCTGTTTGTTTTTTAGAACCTTAATATTCTAAAGTAAATGACGCTTCAAATATATCGCCATTTCTAGTCCCTAATAGGAGTATAGGATACACTGTGTCATTATCGGAATCACCCAAAGAGTTCTCATTTTCAGATTTTTTAGGATATTTACATGAAAACAAATCTAAACTTTACGCCGATAGATTTCGGGAAAAAGGGACATCGCTAAATAAACCTGTTTTTCTTATGTTTATTTCGTTTATCATATTAAATTTCGTATCCCAGATTTTTACAAATTCATCTTCACCTGAGGTTATTATTAATACTTTATCTTAAAATAATTCAGTTATTTTTAAACAATTTATCATTTTTAGATGAGCTTTTTCTTTAGCTATTATATATTTGCCTTTTTTATTTATTTTAAAATAAAAAATTAAATGTACATATTATATATTTAATTTTACCACATGCAACTAATATTAAATCTCCATTATTATTACCCGCAATAATATCTGATTCAATTTAATCACCTAAACTATAACTAATATAACCAATACAAGTAATACAGCATTATTAATTATATACTTCTTCACATGCACTAACAACTTATTTCCTCATTAAATTTCTACCTTACATTTCCCAAAGTGTAATATTCTTAAATCCGCAACTAGCAAACTAATATTTATTATAAGGATTAAAGGCAACATCAAAAATTTATAAAAATCCCGTATTTCTAAAGGCTATGATTTCTTCAGTTTTCCAATTAATAATTTAAATTGAAAAATGCACATCTACCCCAACCGAAATAAGTAAAGATGAATCTCTATCTCTGGAAAAAGCAAGGTGAATAATTCCACTTTTATGGTGTGTTTTTAGAATTTTGAAAGGTTCAGGATTAAACACATTCCAAATATGAATTTTGGGATTATGTGAATTTTCTCCTGTGGCAACAAAGAATTTTAAAGGATGAATAGTTATACAAGTGATTTTATTTTTATGTCCTTCGTAAAATTTTTATTTATTTGTGAGAGGATTATATACTACAGCGATTCTACTAGTATAATAAACAAAATATCTTTGACAATTTTCATGCACTTCATCATAAGGAAGAAGCTGTCTTTTTGCAAAAAGCATTTCTTTTTAATATTGAACAGGAATGAGAATCGATTTATTAGTCTATTCGATTTTTTATTTACCTTATTATTAGGTTGTAGAGGATCCTTTTTTGTGTTTACCTTTCTTTTTTTGTCTTAAGGTTAGTCAATATAGTATATGTGAGTATAATATAAAGAACGGCGTCTATCGTAGGCTTGAAATCCGTAAATATAGTCTAATTAAATACTTATAGGAGGCGCTCTTTTCATTAAAGAGGTCATCGTTTCATATTATGGAATTAATATTTGATATAATGTGTTGATGATTTTTTAATTTACGCCCTTAAATAATAAGAAGGAATCTAATATATTTTCGTGAAAAACTAACTTTTGGTCATGTAATGAATAGACTAACTCTCGAATTAAACTCTCTTCCAGGATTCCGGTTATTTTGGAAAGATTTGTGTCAAAAAGTGTAACTTTTTGAGTTTTTTCATTTTATAGGTTTATATTTAATTACTTTTATTGTTCATATTCTTAATTAAATTCGATTTTCCATTCAATTACCGTATTATCTGTACTTCCTAGAGAAAAGAAACTGTCCTAAGTTTTACACATTCCTAGCCTTGAAATTGCGGAAGAATGTCCTCTTAAGTATCCTCCGCAATTTTACTCTATTTATTTTTTGTCTTTCCAAAAATATATATAACCAGTTTCTCCTCCTGCTAGGAATATTTTAATATCGCCACCTATTATTAGTGGTAATATTAATTATTCTTCAATATTTTCTACATCAATGTTTTAATATCTATATAAATATATTTTTTTTAAGGTTTTATATATATATTAAAATATTTAAACAATTTATTAAATTTTATATATATACCTTATATTCCATATAGTGCAATTAATTTACTCATTTTCTTAGAAAGTTTTAATTTTAGGATCTGAGAGATCTACTTTATATTATTTCCTTTAATTAGAACAAATTAAAAAGCTTTTATTATCATCCACAAATTCAATAGAAACAGCTTCTTCATTTTCCAATTTGAGATCTTCTTTAACTTCTTATTATAAAAAAGTCCCGTTTTAAGAATTACTGAATGAAAGTATATATATATAAGAATCTTGACCGCCTACAACTAGATAATTTCCATCTGAAGAAAATTTTACATCATTTATTCTTACTTTTTCTCTTTGTCTTTGATTTTTTTGCGGTTTAATCCATATTTCTTCTATTTATTTTTACTAATAGCGAATACATACTTGCCCTTCTTCGAATCCTATGGCAAAAATATTTCCGTGTTTTTCGCTGTTTATGCAATCTATGGTACTTATTTAGTAAGGATAGGACCACATGTCCATTATTTCATGAGATTCTAAGGAAAAAGAATATACTATTCGTTCGTTTCCGGCCACATAGAGTATTTTTTCATCACTTTCAGGTTTTTAAAGGATACATATATCATTTAGATTTCCTCTTATTCTGGAAATATAATTAATTCGATTCATTTGGATTTTAATCTAACCTTCATTTTCTTACAAAAAATCTACCTGAACTACATCTCCTTCCCTAGTTACAATAAATGACTTCCTTTTATAACTTTTTATCTATACTATTTCATATGATATCAATTATAGAGGAAGTTAACTTTATTCAAAATTAATTTAATGTAATTACATTTCCATTGAAATATTCCATAAATATATTTAAGAATTTATTGTCCCTATAAGAATTCCATAATCAAAATTTACTATACTTACTATATCATGATCTTATAATTATATGTTTTTCTCATGATCGAAATTTTACCAAATACATACTAATCCATTTTTATGTCCACTAACTATAATTATAAGATTTTCTCTTTAAAAAATAACATTGTTTATCAAAATAAACATATATTTATATATAAAATTAAATAATACGTAGTTCCTTAATAAGATATTTTTGAAGAAGCCGGAATTCTCACACAGGTAGCACAATTTAATTCTTCAAAAATATAAAAATCTTCCAATTTAATATCATGTGTAATAAAATTTCCATCAAAATAATGAAATAGAACAATCTATTATCCCGAGCAAACAATGAATGAATTATCATAATTAAAAAAATCATTATTATCTTACTAATTACTATTTTATTTCTTAATTACATATTCTTAACTATAATTATCTATTCCAATAAGTTCAAATGCAAACTCATTAATAAGAGTCGATAATACTAATGTAAAATCTTTCACATTATAAATAAGAATTGGCGAATTTGTCCTTATTCCACAACTAGCTAAATACTCATCTCCTTTAAAAAATTACAAAAGATGAATTCCTTTCTAATGAATCCCTTTAATAACTCCCAAATTCTATAAAGTATTCGAATCCCATAAATGAATTGCTGGATTATTCTAAGCGATTTCCCCACTGGCGACTAGAGAGCTATTTTTAGAGACGCACATGCTCAAAACCTCATTATCGTGTTCCAAATAATGTTTTTATTCGAATAATTTCGGATAGAAAATAACTACAATACAAGCTGTAAAATATAATATTTTTTCCGAAGCGGCTTTTTCTCCTTGACTTTTTATGAATTCCAAAGCACGTTTTACACCTTCACTGCGGATTCCGAAGACCCAGTTTATATGTGTATTTACGTCTTTGGTGTATTGGTCTTATTATTGGGGATTTTCTGAAGGGTTCATATGAAATATTTTTTTCGAAAGCATGGATATTAGGTCGATTTTTTGTTAATATTTTAATGAGTTTAAGATTTCTCCGAGGGTTTATGATTTAAATTGAGCCTCGCATTGTATTTTATTTGGATATTTTAATTATTCGAGGGTTATTATATTACTTTCTAATTATTATTTTACATCAGGAGGTTTCTTTTCAATTATAGTGATGAATTTAACGATTTCATTTACTTTACTGCACCATTTTAGCATTTATTAAATACCTATTTTGGATTCATCACTGAAATAATTATTTAAAAACTAAGATATTTCATCTTCTTTCATGTCTATTTATTATCCGAAAATCTAAATTATATTTATATTATAATTTACTTTATGTAAAAAAAATATATATACTTTAAATGTGGCATTTGCACATGAAATTAACATAAATTCTAAATCTACAATTGTTAATATATTCATTTCATTAAAATCAAAAATATCAAATAAAAAACGGACTTTTTCATTAAAAGAAGCATCTGAAAATAATATTAAACCGGAAAATAATTCCAAAGCATCAATTAAACCATTTTTATCTGTATCCCATATTTTAAATGAAGTTTCATTAGAGCCGAATATTTGTTCGTATTCAGTCAAGTCTATTGAAAATGTATCACATACGCTTTTAAATGAACCATGATATTCCCGAAGCTTTGATAAAGAGGAGTTTAAAAGGGGATTTGGTAGTGGTTAACATTCTTATTGTTCTAATTGTGTTATAAAATTTCCCATTTTTTTTTTATTATAATAATAATTTTATATTTTTTTAAAAAAAAAAAATAAAAAAATACCTCTTTTTTATAAATCTTTTATTATTTTTCATTTTAAATTAAAAAAATATTTATTTTAATTAAATTATAAAAATATTTTTGTTCTTAAAAAACAGATATAATATTAATAAATATTTTCATTTTTATTTTTTTAAAATATATAAGAAACTAAAATTCTATCATTTTTAATCAAACAAACTTTATGTTGAAGTAAGGGTTAATCCATAATACAAACTTTGATTTTAATCAAACACTTTCTTAGCATAATCAGCTCCATAATTAGTAATTAAAGATTAATAAACACATTTTACAAACTTCATTCTTCCATGTTCTTTTAAATGGGTTTCAACAAAAGGTAAAATTGTATCATATTTAGCACATAAAGCAGCTAAAATCCATTTTATGTAAATTTCTGGGTTCTAAAGTAATTATAAATGTAAAGTTTTGTCTAATAATTCTGCTTTTTAGGCATTAAAATTATTTTTATTAATAATATTTTAAAAAAATAAAATCTTTTAATTAACATTAAATTAATTCCATTATTTTGACAAATCTTCCAAAGTTTAATTATCTAAATCGTTATGTAAGAACTTTGTAGCCAATTGAATAGGTAATTTAACAACTTCTTCATCTGAATAGTCATATGTTTTTGGAGGATAACCAGCTTTATTTAACCATTCTTCCCAGTTTATTTATTTATAAATTAAATATCCAAAAAAACTTTTGAAAAAATTTTTAAAATCTTCAGTAGTAATAGACTAAAATCTAAAATAAATATATATATATATATATATATATATATATATATATATATATATATATTTTTTTTTTTTTTTGTAATTCTTTTACTAAAATTTATTAATGTAACTTTTATAGAATTTCATAAATTTATCTTCTCCGACTAATTCTTGTAAGAATTTTAAAAATTAAAATCCTTTATAATATGGTACAGAACTGAAAGCATCATCAGGATTTTCATGTTTTACTTAAGGATTTAAACTCGTATAACTATGACTAACTCCAATATAAGATATTTAGTTTTTCAATTCTTAATCTAAAATAGCACATCTTAACTTTATTTAATATTTATACTAAATTTAAGTTTAAATAAAAAAATTTTACTTTATAATCATTTATTCCTTTTAATTATTTTAAAGTTTCTAATTCAAAAAATACTGTCCAGCCTTCATTAAGCCAAAAAGAGTCCCAATTTTTACAAGAAACTAAATTTCCGCTCCATGAATGAGCCATTTCATGGATAATAACATCAATTCCTGATTTATCTCCTGCAATAATAGATGGACTAGCAAATGTTAATAAAGGATTTTCCATACCTCCATATGGAAAACTAGGTGGAAGTACAACAACCTTAAATAAATATATATATAAAAATATATAAAAATATATATAAATATATATAAATATATATATATATTTATATATTTATATATATATAATAAAAACAAACCTTATATTACTCCCAAACATATTTTGTGATTAAATTTTCTAAAGTTTGTAATTAAAATTCCATGTCTTCTAATTCTTTAGAATATTCTTCAACTACCTCCGGTTCTGCAATTACACTTGTTCTTTCAGATACTTTTTTCTCTTCTAAATTTCCTGCAACAATAGCAAATAAATAACTTGGTATAGGAATATTTTATTAAAAGCTAAACTATTTATATTAAATTTTAATATATTACAAGAATATTTTTTAATAAATTGTTTGAAAATTTTTTTTTTGAAATTTGTTTGAAAGCAAATTTAATATGAAATGATAAAAAGAATGATTAAAAATAAAAAAATAAATTAAATATATTTTAAAATATTATTTATACATTTTATATATTAGAATTTTATTATTGTGAATGAATGAGAACACCTGAAACATAAGCTTTAAGTGGATTATTAACATGAATTTAAGTTTAAAAAGTAGATTTTACACTAGGAGAATCCATACATGGAAAAATGCTTCTAGCATAAATAGGTTCACATTAAGTAAATAAATAAGGATGTAATTTACCTATAAATTTATATATATATATAAATATATATATATATATATATATATATATTTATTTATATATACATTTTTTTTATATTTATATATATTTCATAATATCTTATCTTTATTTATTCATTTTTAGTATATAATAATATATTTATTACCTTTAGTTTATTATGGATTTAACCAATTTAATGCTGAATTTTATGAATTTATTGTTGTATAATTGATTTAAATATGAAATATATTTCCTTTTTCAATATCTTCACATAAAAATATATTTAATTAATCACCTAATTATTCACTTACTTTTTAAATATTAAATATTAATTTTTAATTATTCATAAAGCATTATTTTACTTCTATATTTCTTATATCCAATTGTACTACTAAAGTATTTTTTAAAGCACTAAATTGATAATTAGTGCTCCCATTTAATACTTTATTATTAAAATCTATATATATAATATGATCATAATGGTCACAATATACTTCGTCTAAATTTGATACTGAGGATGAATCTATTGTATTGTACCAACCTTTATATCTTTTTTTTGTTAATTTTTCGATGTCTTAGTTATCTAACTTTTTTTTTTTTTTTTAGCTTCTTCTTAATATGTATAAAGAGGCTAATGATAATAATGCTAAGGATGTTAAGGAAAAGAATCTTCTTTTATTAATATATTTTAACATTTTTTAAGATATTATTTTTTAGATATTATTTTTATATTTCAAAAATATCTTAATTAATGAAAAAATTATTAATATTAATAATAAATAAAAATAAAAAATTAATAATATTTTTAGATTTTTATATTTTTATAAAATATGTATTACATATATATATACTTATATATTTATTCGTTATTTTATTGCAAATTCTTTATATAAATCAAATTTAAAATTAGGATTTATGTTATGTTAATATATCATATAATTATTCAATTTTTTATTTCAAAATTACTTTTACTTTATTTTAAATAATATTTAATTATTCAAAAGGAACACTTTTACCTGCTATCTTATTAGCTAAAATCCCTATAAATAATTAAAAAATAAAATTAAAAAAAATAGATAATTTTAAAAATTATAAACTTCTCTCATTTAATTAAATTCCAAAATATATATTAGAATATGAATTAATTTCTTCTATATATGAAGGATCGACAATAATAATAGACCCATCTAAAATACTTACTTATATAGGATAAATAAAATCACTAATTTCAAAATTAAGATATTTCTTATTGTTTGTATTTTATTCGATTTTGAATTCGCCATCTATTTTATTTAAATAAACTTCATTTACTTAAGAATTAAATAATTCAAACTAAGAAGCTAATAAAAGGGCATCATTTACATTTCCAGAATCATTTACGACTCTCAAATTAATTTATATTTTCCAATAAAAATTAGGTAATTCTGATGTAACTATACATTTTTGATATATGTTTTGATAATTTTAGCTAAATATATATTTTTTAGTTAAATTTAATAATATTTTTTAATATTTTTTACTTTATTAAATTTGTTAATAATATTGAATAATAACTTTCTGATTTTAAAATATCCATATAATTATATTAACCTTCTTAATTATTATATTTTACTTCAATTTCTATAAATAAAATTATATTTTATAATTTAAATGATTATATATTTTTTTATTACATATTAATTAATTTTAAATATAATCAAAATTAATAACTTATTTATCTTCATATATTTAAATATTAGAACTTGCAGCAATTAATGTTTTTCCTAGACTTAGTAATGTAATATTATTTTCTTTTTATATTATAAAAAAATTAATAGTTTATTTTTTAAGAATTACATCTTAATACAGATATTTATCTTATTTCATCAAATTATCTACCATCTTCTCTAATATTTTATTAAGAAAATCTTGCAAGATATTCTTTTGGTAATAATTCTTAAAAAATTTCTTGATTCATATTGCAGTATATAATTAAATATATATATGTATATATATTTTTTATTTATAAAAAAAGATTTTTTAATTTTAATAAATTTTTTAATTTGAATAAATATAATATATATTTATATTTATATTATATATATATATATATATATATATATATATATATACATATTTAATATTTTTTTTTATTATTTATAATTCTTATATATTTTAATTTTTTTTTTATTTATATGCAAACAATAATATTTATATATATATATATTTTATATTTTTCTTAAAATTTTTTAAATTTAATATAATTAATTGTTTTTATATTTATTTATATTTATATTATTGCATTTTTTTATAAATTTATTATTTTTTATTTAAATTTTATATACATTTTTTATATACATATTATTTTATATTTAACATATTTTATATTTATTTAATAAAAATATTATGATATTTTAACATAAAAATAAAATAGCATTATTTATTTTATTTATTATATTAGTTTGATTATAAAATACTATCATAATATTGCTCTTTTTATTTTTCTAAAAAACCTTTTTATTTTTCCTTCATATCCAGCATCTTATCCTGTCAAATATTAAAACGCTCCTTCTCCTAAGTTTTCTAAATTATCTTATACTTATTCAAAATATTAATTTATTTTCTACTATGGTTTTTTATTTTATTTTCTGTAATATAAATAAGCTACAATTGAGGATAAAGAAATAATTAAAATTTTTTACTTTTATTCATAATCTTTTTTATTTTATAAATATTTTTATTTATATTTTTTTTTTTTATAAATTTATTAAAAATTAGACTTTTATTATATTATTTTAATTTTTTAAATTAAATATTATACTCAAGTTTAAATTGATAATCAAATTTTTAATAATAATGCTGGATAACTATAGTAAATAAAAATATAATATTATATTCATCAATATATATAAAAATAAAGATAAAAAATACTCTTTAAGATATTAATTATAATTTTTAATCAAAGAAATATTATATTCGATTAAATTTTTTATTTATATTATATAAAAAATATATACTGATTATTAAAAAAAAAGAAAAAATATATATAATATAAAATATATATTATTTTAAAAATTATATTTTAATATATAACAAAAATATATTTCATTCACTATTCAATATATTTGGGATTTTAAATTTTATTGTTTAGCTTTATTTTTAAAAATAAAAAATATTAAATTTATTAAAAAATTAAAAAATAATATAATATTTACCTCAAATTCTAATCTTTTTAAATTATTGAAAGAATTATCATAATTATATTTTGTTTAATTTAACTCTTCTATTTTTTCTATCAAATCACTATTTTTTTATGTAAGTTCTAATTATCTTCTTTCTGATTATTATTTATACATATCCCTTTAAGCAATCCTTTATATTTAAAATATTTTTAAATATATTAAAATAAATAAAAATAAACAATTAATCTATTTCTCTTGCCATAGTTTAAATTTAATCTTTATAATAAATATTAGAGTTATTATTTTATTAATAATCAGACAGCTTTTAAAATAAAAAATAATATAATTTAATTAAATATTAAATTATTACGTTTGAATTTTATTTCTTTCTAAACTCATTTTCTAATATAAAATTATGTTTTTCTAATTCTTAAACCAGAGTTTAAATATATTAATTTTTGTTTTTAATAACATTTTCTAATTAAATAATATATTCATTATTACTTTAACTATCCTTAAAATATATATATATATATATATATATAATATATATATATATATATATATATTTATATTTATTTATTTATTTTTACAAAAGATTTCTTTTTTTCATTTTTTTAAGATATCTCAAAATAAAGTTGTGCTATTTATTTTTTAAGATCTTAACATTCATTAACTTTTAATTAAAGATTTTCCATTAAATCCTATTCTCTATTTTAAAGTAATTATATTTATGTATAATAAGACATTCTTTCTGCATCAGGAAGTATACTTTAGTTTTATTAACTAATTATTAAACAATCTTAAATATTTTTTCTTATTCCTTCAATATTTCCAATATTAGAATTATTTAAAAGTAAAATTTCAACTAAATTTGATAAAAGTACAATTTTCTCTAAGCAATTTATATTTGTATAATTATTTTATTTATTATTTTCATAAATATTACTAAATTTATTAATGTCATTATAATTATTTTTATGTTAATTTTAAGTATCAATTAAATTATCAACAATATTATTACCATTATGAATATTATTATTATCATTATTATTATAATATTAAATATATTTATTAATGTCATTATAGTTATTTTATTTTTAATTTAAAATATCATTAATATTATTAATATTATTATTATTATTAATATTATTTTTATTATTATTATTATCATTATTAATAAAATTATTTTTATCATTATAATTTATGTTATTAATATATTATTTATTTATATCATTATAATCATTATTATTATTATATTTTATATTATTATTTTAATTTATATTTTTTTTATTTATATTATTTGATTCATTATTATCTTTTTAATTTTCAAATATAATATTATTATTTTAATTAATATTATTATTATTATTGTTTTTATTAAAATTTCTTTTAATTTTATCATCTTCTTATTAAATATCTTATCTATTTATATCAACTATTTGTTTTTACGAATATAAATTATTTAAAATATTGTCTTATGATTTTTTAATATAAAAATCATCTAAATTTTATATTATTTTAGAATTATAATCATTTTACTCATTATTTAGATTGTTTTTTTTAGAATTTTAATTATTGTCTAAATTTTCTAGATTTTAAGGATTTAAATTGTAAGCATTATCCTTATTTATTTCTGAATACTACATACAACTTTATGGTTTATTAGCTTAAATCTAAGGTTTACTTTCTAAATTTTAAAGCAAATTTTGTACTTAATTTTAAAGGTCATCTATTAATTAATTTTTATTATCAACTTCTTCATTTAATTTATCATTTTCTTAATTTTTTTCTAACATTTCTCTATTTAATTCATCTATATATTATTTTAAAATAATCGGATCGTCACTACTTTCGACTTTTTTTTCCTCCAGACATTTTTTATTTTTTTCAATATTTTTCTATAATTTTTTCAAGTATTCATTTTCATCATTTACCCTTTCAATTTCCAAATAAGACAATATTAATTTTTATAAAATTTCCTTATTTTTTTCCTATAAAGATAGTGCCAAACTATTTAAATCGTTTTAGTTCATAAAATTATTCAAATATTAAATTTCTTTGACCAAATTTTCGTTATGTTATTAAAGTCCCCTATTCTTTTATAAAATATGTTCTATTTCAGAAGTTAAAATAACAATTTTTAATAATAATTATTTTTCATTAAATGAGTGTATCTTTACAGTTTCCTCATCTTTTTTTATATATATAGAGTTCTATTATTATTCATTTTGTAATCTACTTCTGGTATCTTTTAGTTGATTTTTTAAATCATTTAGCTCGTTTTTAGTTTCTTATAGTTCTCCCTTATATTCTTTTAGATCGTTTTTGGCTTCGTTTAGATCATTTAAGAGGTCTTAGTTTTTACATTTCCAGTTATATATTTCCTCATTTTTAGATTTTAGTTAGTTCATTAAATCAAGGTTTGGGTTTGTTAAGGAAACTTATCTTATGGGTTTTTCCACTTCAATATTTGGAAGAAGGTTTTGAGGAGTTTATGTTTCTTTACTTTTTATATTTTAGGATAACTTTCCCTTTTATATATATATATTTTATTTATTTTTGGTTTTTTTTACATCAATTTTGTCTTTTAGTTGCTGATTTTCATTTTAAAGTTTTTCTATGAATTAATTAAATTTTTAGATTTAAGATTGTAAGTTTTTTATTTAATTTTTGCTTTTGGCTAATTCACAATTTAGCCTTTCGATTTCTCCTATTAATTAATTCTAGTCAACATTTTCAAGCTTTTTTTAATATATATGTATGTATAAAATATATTAAATTTTTATTTTTACATTAAACATATGATTTTATTATTTTAAAGGAGAATTATTCAAAGATTAAGGCATACTTTATTATTCTCTAAGTCTTTGTATTATATAATCTTTATCCTTTATCATTTATTTTAATTTATTGATTAATTCTTAATTTTCATTATTTTTCTTTGATGGTGATTACGATGTAGAACTTTTCTATATTACATTATTATTAGGAAAATTATTGCTACTGTTTAAATAGGAAATACTGTTTTTATTGTTTAGAATGTTATTTTGAGGATTAAATGGGTTTTATTGAATTTTCTACTAGCATGTTATCACGCTGTCAGGGTTTGGTACTTTTAAAGGGGTGGTGGAAGGTAGTGTGTTTTTTTGGTAAAACTAAGCTTTTTTTTCAGAAAATTGACCTGGATGATGTTAAGATTTTACTTGATTATTGTTTTTTTTTGCAGATGATTGCTTCATCATTTTTTTTATTTGTTATTTTATTTTATTTTTTGTTTCGTAAATGAGAAAATATAATTATATTTTTTTTTATTTGCTTTTTATAATTATAAAATATCATGTTAGATAAAAATTATTTATATTTTCTTTATTTTTTAATGTGCGCATATGATTTGATAGGTATTTTTTTATAAAATAAAATTTTTATTTTTTATTATTATCAAATATTTAACAATGAACAAAAATTAAATTAATTTTATTTAATTTAATAAATTATTTTTAAAATACAATAAATATTTGTTTATTTAGTATATTTTTTTTTTTTAACAAAAAAAATAATTGTTAAAAAGAAATATAATAAATAAATAAAAATAGTTATATTTTATAAATTATTTATTTGTATTTTACGATTTTTTAATTATAATGATGATTAACTATTAAATTTATAAATTTTATTTAATAATTTATAATAAGTTTGAAAGTATTTTATTTTATTAATATTTAATATATAAATATTATTAATGTTTAAAAATATATTTTAAAAAATTTATTTGTAAATTATTAAATAAAAATATCAAATATAGAAGAAAAAATGCTAAATACACGTTATTAGAAACTAAATAAAATAAAGAAAAAAATATATATGTATATATATATATAAATTAAATAAAGGAAAAAAAAAAAATTTTATTTAAAGATAAATTAAATAATAAAAAAATATATTATTAATATATATACTACAATAAATAAAATACATATTTTTAATAATATATTTAAAATAACAAAAATAATAATAAAAGAATGAACCTTACTTCTTTTGCCATAAACGATGGTTATGCTGATGCAATTCTAAGAGGCCTTAGAGCATCATTTATAAGCGAAACTTAATATAACTAAATGAAAACAAGTTCAAATCTTTAAGATTTAAAATCTGTAAAAAAATATGACAATATTCAATTAATTTTTTTATTTTTTTTTTTAAAAAAAAGCATTTAGAAGAAACTGATTATTGCGCTTATTTACAAAATGACTAAACAGAATTATCAATCCCTTTATTGCGTTCTAAATTAAAAAAGAAATTAGCTGACGAATTCGAATATATATATTGTTAAAGTGTTGGATCGTTAAGTTAATTTATTAGATTAGTCTAACATAGATATATGATTGATAATGTTGTAAACATGATTGAAGGAATCAAAAACAAAGTAAAAATAAATAAATATATGCATCAATTTATAATAAATATATATCGTAATACATAAATAACTTATTAAATAAATGCATAGGTAAGCAATGAAGATTTATTAGCTGCAACAGATCCTTTAGGTTTTTTCCCAGAAATGACTTAAATAAAAGTATTAGATTAAGATGATTATACTGGGCTTTATAAAGATGTATTGATTGATACTCCTGTAGGTTCATATTTTATGAAATTCTTGGAGTAATCAATGGGTGCTTTATCTGAAAATAAGACTATGAATGATGTGCAGAACTTATTTAAAGAAATGAAGCCTGAACACATGAGAACTTCTTTAAAAAAAGTAAAATTTTTTTTTAAAAAAAACTAATATATATTAAAATTATTAAATCAGATGTGGTTAGAAGACTTTTATTATTTTTGTACTACTGAATTAAATGCAGAAAGTCAAGAAATTCTTGGAGATTTATTAAATTTCGAAGCTGATATGAAGGCTGTTTAGGTAGTCTATAACACTATAGGACATAAAGATATTAGTTCCGCAGCCAAAATAGGCACTACTAGAAAACAATTATGTCCCGCAATGGGATATTTATATCCAGATTGTTAAAAAAATCTTTTAAATTCTATGACTTTGGATGCTCTTAAAGAAGCTATTAAAGGAACAGAAAATTATCGAGAAATTATTAAAGATGCTCCAGATCCGGCAAAAAGAGAAGAATAGAACTTTGCTACTACTTTAGATGATTTAATGTATGATGCAGAAGTAAAGAAATATTCATTAGCATTTGATTAAGCTGGATAATATGCAGTTTTTTATGCCTATTTGAAACTAAAAGAATAAGAAATTAGAAATGTTGTTTGGTTAGCTGAAATGATAACTAGAAATTTACCCAAAAATTCATTAGGATGGAAAAAAATTGTTGTACCTTTTAGTCATTTATTAAATGTTTGATTAATTATTTTAAACAAAAAACAAATAATATTAAATACATTTTTTTATTTTGTTTTTATTTCGATTTTTACGATTTTTACATTTTTTAAACGATATATATAAAAATATATATATATAAATATTTTATATATATATATATATATATTAATATATATATATATATATTTTACATATATTTATCTATAAATAAAAATTTTTTAAATTAATTTTTTTATTTTTTTTTTTCTATTATAATTTTTAATTATAGATTTTTTTTAATATATATTACAACTTTAAATATTATATATATTATATTTATTTTTTTAATATTAAAATTTATATATATATTAATATATCTATTTAAATTTTTTTAATTAATTCAATATATATTTTATTATATTTTTTACTTTATATAAAATAAAATTTTAAATATAAAACTATATTTTAAAATAATAAATAATAAATTATTTTTTTATAGTAATTGTCATTTAAGAAATAATTTTTACAAAAAATAAATATATATACTATTTTCAAAATATTTTTTATATATTATATAATTTGAAAGACAATTAAATATTATATGTATTATTTATTATTTTTTAAATTATTTAAGAAGTTTAATAAAATAATAATATTAAAAAAAATATATTAATAAATGAATTTTTAAAAAAAATATAAAAATGTTAATCTAAATAAAATAATTCATTTATTGTTAATTATTTAAATTAAAAAACATTTGATTCTACTATCTTGACATGCCTTACAAGTTAACCTAAAAAGACAATTCAAATTTAATCATAAGAATCTTTAAAATATAAAATATAATAATAAAAATTTATTTAAAATATATCTAAAATAAGTAAACTTTAAATGCTAATTTCCCAAAATACAATAAAGAATGATTTATTTAGTTTAAAAAAATTAAATTCTAGTATCAATTAAATTAATAAAAAAAACAAAAACAAAGAGACATTAACACCTCCTGAAAAAATGAAGATATAATTATATGATGATATTAATACAAAAAAACATTCATAAAAAAATATACGTTTTCGTAGAAAAAGCTAATATTGTAATTTAACAGGAAAACTGACTGAAAAATGTTCAAAGTTCGAGTATATTTTAACAAAATCATTAATAAAATAGCATATAATATAAAAAATAGAAATGAAAAATACTAACTCTGACATTAATTAAATTTTATCAAAAGTAAACAAACAATTAAAAATATAAAATGTTTTATAGAATGTTGAAGAAAATTTAAATCTATAAACGTAAAATACAACATAATATTAAATGCCAACTACTCTAATATAAACCGAAAAACCATTAGATGAAATATAAAAAACATAACTATTAAATACATCTAATTAAACAAGTGCTAAAGGATATTAAAATGGAAAATAAATCCCAATAGTATTAAAAAAGCAATAATAAAGACTTCAATAGACAGAAGAATAAATAAAGCCTATAAAAATAATAACTGAGAATTAATTCAAGGAAAAAAAAGGATAATTTTAGTTAATTTAGTAAAAAGATAGTTACCCTTAAAGTCCAACTAAAAAATATTAAAAAATTTTTAAAAACACTATTATGACTCCAAAAAAAAATAAAGGATTATCAGTAGAAAGGAAAAGGATTTTGATGGCAAAACTAAGGATGACTACTAAAATGATAGGAATATATCAAAAATAAAAAAATTAAATAGTATGTATAATGAAACATATTATAATGCTTTAAATGAAAAAGAAGATAAGGAAAATAGTTACATTTAATATGATAGTTAGATTGATTTAAATAAAAATAAATAAAATGAAGGATTAAAAAAAAGTATTTATTATTAAAAATAAAAATTATATTTATCAGTAAATAATTAAAAGTCATTAAATACTATTTAAAATTAAAAAAAAATTAATAAAATGATAAAGATAAATTATTTATTTATAATAAATACCTTTTTAAAAGTTTTAAATAAGCTGAACATACAAAATTGATTAGTTAAACATATAAAAGTTAATTAGATTCAAGATACAAATAAAAATAACAATAATAATAAAATTCTAATTATTAAAATATTATTGACTCTTTTTTGTAAGCAAATAAATAGTAAGATTATTAACAAAGTGATAATTATTAATAAAAAGATATAAGTAATATAGTTAAAACGAAATATTAAAAATAATTCAATTAATTAAAAAGAATTGTTTAAAGCAATAATAAATAAAATCAAGAAAATAGTAAAACATAATAAAGAATGAATAATAATATAAATTTTATAAAATATGAAAATAATAATAATAATAATAATAATAATAATAATAATAATAAAAATAATAATAATATTAGTAATAAAAATTATAATATTTATAATAATCGTAATTTGTTTAAAAACTAGTCATTTATTAATAGAATATTTTAAAATAATAATTCTAATAATTCCTGTACTTAGAGTTTATCTGTAAAAGTTTTAAAAAAATAAAATAAAACAAAGATGTATTTAAATAAATGATTTTATTTTTATGTTATATATTTTAAAAAAATAAAATAATTATTTATTTTTGATTAAATAAAATAATTTAATTTATACAATATTAATTTAAAAAATTTAATTAATTATATTTCTAAGATAAAATTATTATAAATATTTATTTAAAATAAAAAATTTTAATATAAAATTGATTGTAATAAAGATAAATTAAATAAAAATATTTAATATATGCAAAAATATTTATTTAAATATATATATTAAAAAAAAAATATAGATATATAATAAATATATATATATCATATATTTATATATATATATATATTAATATATTTTATATTTATATTTCAAAAATATATTTTCATTTTATATATAATATTATTTTTTAATATTTATTTATATTTTTTTTTTACTAAATATTATATTTTTAATTTTATATTCAGCATTCTTAATCAATTTTTTAATTTTTATGTAGTACATGCTTATTTACTAAATTCAATTTATTTAAATATATTTCATTTTAACTTATTTCTTTTACTTTTTATTCCTAAAATTAATTAAAAATTTCTTGATTTTTTACATTTAAACTATTAATATTTTTAATTTTATCTTTTTCTTATAATTTTTACAGATTATTATTATATTTATTTTTATTTTAGTTTTAATACTTATTTTCTTCTATTTCATCATTATCATCATCTAAAATGTCTTTTTAAACTTTTATTCCATTTTCTGATTTTTAAATATAAGATTTTATTGGTGTCCCATTTTCAAAAAGAAAAGCTCCTAATTATTACTAATTTAAATTTTATGGAATTTCCACTAAGATTTCATTCCTTTAATAAGGATCTACTTACACTACAAAAGATCTATCAATATTAAATACATCATTAATTTATTACATTTAATTAAATTTATCATATACATATCTAGGTTTTACTAAATAATCTCTTTGATTTATAATTTCGACTATTCTTTATTTTATTTATTTTTAAATATTATTTATAGATATCTTTGGATCAATTAAATACTTAATAGGTTTGAATTAATTAACTATTTAATAAACTGGTTTTAATTCACGTTTTATTTTAGGCTTTAAATAATATTCAAATGTATTATTTCTGTTTTTATATAATTGTTCTTTTATTTCATTTTCTTCGTCTTCAATTTAAACTGGATTTTCATTTTTTTCTGATAAATTTATTATTTCTTTTAATGAGAATTTTTAGTTTGTTTTTAAATTTTATAATGTGTTTTATTAATTAGAAAAAGATGAAATATAATTTTTTTGTTAATTTTTTATTTTCTCCAATTAATCCTTGTCTTTTATATTAATAATTTCTTAATAATCAAAATCATCTTCACTTTCATCACTAATTTAACTATTTGTTTCTAATTAATTATCTGAATATTGGAAAAATAAATTCTTTTGTAAATCTTTTTTTCTTAATTCTTATTTTTTTAATTCCTCTTTTTCTTTTATTCTCATATCTTTTGTTAATTTTCGTATATTTTCTTGATTTTCTTTAATTTCTTATAAATCTTTTATATGTGCGAATTCATTTCCTATAAGCTATCCTTATTCATAATTATTTTTTAGATTATCTAATTTATTCTTATAATGTAAATATAAATATCCATATTAAAGTGATAATTCAGGTCCAAATCCTTTTAAAAGATATTCTCTAAATTAATCCAAAATATAATTTTCCATTTCTTCTTCGTATCTATCAATTTATTATAATTCTATATCGTCATCTTTTTGTTATCTTTTTTTCGCTTGGGATATTTTTTCTTTTAAAAATAAACCAATTGAATCTACAGTTTCACTATTTTTTAAAGACAATAAATGCGTTTCTCTCAAAAACTCTTTCTTATTTAATAAAGGAATATATGGGGTTATATGTTTTGATTCATATGGTAGTTTTTCTTGATATTTTCTTTATTCCGCTTTTCTAATGAGTGTTGCTGTATTTGACATTTTATTTCTTATTTTATTTTTTTTTGATTTAATTAAAAATATTTTTTTATATATAAATTAAATTTTTTTAATAATAATAATTATATTTTTTATTATATATTAAAATAAAAAAATAATATTTAATATTTTTAACAATATTTATATATTTTTTAATTTAAAAACTATATAATATTATTATTTTTTAAAAGTATTTATAATTTTTTACTTATTAATTATAATATATTTATTAAATAAATAAAAGATAATACAAGTTTCTTTTATTTTGTTTTTATAAAAAATAAATTATTATTTTAATAACTAATAGAAACTAAAATATATAAAAAAAATCGATTTATTATAGATTATTTTACATTTAATATAAAAATAAATTTATATTTAATATTTTTTTTTTATAAAAAATAGATTAATTTAAGTATTTTATTATTTTTTCTTTTCACTTTTCAAAAAATAGTACATTATTCATAACAACTAGCTTTATAAGTTAATTTAGGATTATATCTGATAAACCAATCTGAGAAAAAATTAGCAAATTATTCAAAAAATAAGCAATCTAATTAATTTATATACTTCAATTAAGCAATTATTTTTAATATTTATTAATCTTTCTTTTTAATATAAAATTTTTCTAAAACATTTTTAACAGCTTGTTCTATTTAATAAAACTAAATAAATCCAATTTCGTTTACATCTACTTTTTACCAACTTTCTTCTATCGTAAATATTTAAAATTCAGATAGAATATTCATTATTCTATATGTTTTAAAAATAAATTAAAAAATAAAAATTAATAAATAATAATTTTATTTTTTACGATTATTTATTTATTTTAAAAGTTCTTTTTATAAATCCTTTGTTTTTTTATTTGATTGTTCTTAAGATTTCTTTGAATTAAAATTCACTTATATAAATATTATTCTGTTATAATTCTAAAATAGATGATTTTATATATTTGTACATTTTTTCTTTATCAATTTCATATTTTTAGAAATAAAAATTTAATGCTTAAGGTAATTCATCAAAGTTCATTAATCTATTTTCATTTTTTATTATAATATTATATATTTATAGTGCGAAATTAGCTTCTTCTTATTCTAAATGGATTGATTTTTTATCAATAGTATTACCGTGACTTCTCATATAAAGTTTATTTGTAATTAATATTAATGAATTGAATTTATATTTAAATTTTAAAATTAAAAATATATATATAAATATATGCATAAATAAAAATATAAATAAATACATATTTATTATAATATAAATATGCCTTTATAAAATAGATATTAAAATAACGTATTTATTTGTAATTGAGAGTATTTCAAATTAAGTTAATTTAAAATATATTTTTTTATGCATATTTTTATATTAAAAGCAATAATATATAAAATAAAATATAAGTTATATGAAAGATTTTTTAACAATATAATATACCTTTAATAGAACATTTTAACTTTAATTTTTTCTTTTATTTAATATTTCTTTTTATTATTTATATTAATATAATTAAAATAAATATTTTTTTAGTCTTCTATTTTTATCATAAATTATTTATTATATTTATATTTTTTTCATATATTTATATTTTTAATAATTTAATTCTTTTCTATTTATCATTAAAATTAATAAATAACTTTTTTTTTATTATTATTATATATTTTAATTTTATATATTTAAAATCTTTTAATGTTATCATTAATAATTTTACTTTATCAATTTTTTTTTATTTTATAAATTATTTTTAATATAGAAAAACTCTTAAAAAAAGCGTTTATTTTATAATTAAAAATAAAAACTGTTTATTTATAATATATAAAAATTATAAAAAAATAAAATAAATTAATACATAAAAATCTCTTTAAAAAAATTCAAAGATTAGCCTTGATAAAATCCGCTATTAAAAGCCTTACTTTATAATTATCCATTTCATGAGCCATATTTTCAACTATTTTAACATTTTGAGATCCAATATCTTTATCATAACTAATTTTTACTTATTCCCAAGGTCTAATTTAATCATTATTCCCATGAGCTATAAGCATTTTAATATCTCTTTTATTATCATAACTAGTTATTTCAAAATAGTAGCCTGCAATACCAATTACACCTCCAATATTAAATGGAAGTCTAAAAGCAGTATAAATACTCATTCCACATCCTTAACTAAATCCACCAATAAATAGCTTCTAATAATCATTATTTAAAAGTTATAATTCTTATTTAATTATACGTTCTAATCTTTAATAGCTGTCTATATATATTAATATAAAATTAATTAGCTTTTTATATTTTTTATAAAAAATAAAAACCTTCTACGTCTGCTTTAGAAAATGCATCATCAAAAGGAATTGTAAAAGCATTTTCATATGTTTTTATATCAAACCATGAAATCATTTATTTCTTATGATATGTCATGTTTCTTGTTGGAGCTTTAGGAATTACTATTTTGAAATCCTTTAAAGCATCTTTTAAAGGATTCATTAAGAAATATCTCAAAAATAGCTAAGGTTCCATTCCTAATCCATGTATAAATATTAAACAATACTTGTATTAATTTTAATAGGGTAAAATATAAACATTTTCATTTTCACATATTGTAATTTTATAATCTTAATTCATTTGTAAATTATAATAAAATTTTTATATTAGATATTTTTTTATTATGTTTTATAGAAAAAATTAAATAAATTATTATTCTTAAAAATAAAAAAATTTCTGAAATTCTGCAATTGAAACCATATTATATAATAAAAAAGATAATTTTAAGCAAAGTGTATATGTTTTTTGTTAAAAAAAAATAAACACCAATAAAGCTAAAAATTACATTATAATAAATAAAGTCTAATAAAGAAATAAAAAATATCGGAAAAAAAATACTATAATATAAAGATAAACACTAAAAAGAAAAAATAATATTAAATAAAAAATAATTATATATATGTATATAAAAATAATTATATATATATATATAAATATATATATATATATATATATATATATGTTTACAATTTTATATAATTTAGTTTTTCGAAAATATTTTCTTTTAAATAACATGATTTATTATTTTTTTACTAAAACAATTAATAATGGACGTAGAAATTTTAGAAAATATTATAAAAATTATAAAATAATATATTTATTATTTAAATAAATAAAATTATCATTTATTTATTTTTTAAATAATACTTTATGATTTTTGAAAATAAATTAATGAAAAATATTATTTTCTGAATTTTTCTAAAGTTTTGGTTAAATTATTGCCATTTAGACCTTAATTTAAAATAAAAAAGAAATTAATCAATGACTAAGTCCTTAGTTTGCTTTTTTTTCTTCAATATCTAAAACTAAATAAATAAAACTTCTTATTAAGTTAGTTACATATATTTTAAACTTTACAAAAACTTCTTTGTTTGAGATTATAATATTAGATATAAATTCTTAATATATAATACATTTAAATTTAATGTCAAATATTAATAATTTTATCAAAATATAGATTTTTTTAAAATTAAAATAATTTTTAGAAATTAAAACATGTATTCTTCTCAAATATTTAATATAATTTTTTAAAAATAATTTTTATAATAAAATAAATCAAAAAAAAATCCTGAAAAAAATAATAAAAAAATATAAATAATTCAAGAAATCCAAACAGTATATAATAAAATTTTAAGGCTAATAAATTTATATTATATATAAATAAATGAAACAAAATTTAATTATTGTTATTATTTATTAAAAAATTATTATATATATTTTATTTGAATTAAAATTTTTTCTTTAAATTAATTAAAAGAATTTATATAAAGTTTAATAAATAAAATACTAAATTCGATTAAAAAATATATAATTAAAATTTAATATAATAAATATTCAATATTTATTTTAAAATTATAATTAATATATAAATTTTAAAATATTAAATATAATATTTCAATATAATTTTTTTTATATAAAATATTATAATATTATTGTTTTTAATAATTTAATGTATTAATTCATATTTATATATGTATTCAAATTTTTTATTATGCAATAATTAAAATAAATATATTATTGTTTAAAAAATATGTAAAATTATAATTTATTTTTTTAATATTCATTGCATAAATAAATAAATATTTATATAATATTAAAATTTTAATATACCAAAATACGCAAAATACACATAAAAATACATATAAGCAACATATAATTAATTATAATATAAAAAAAATGTAATAAGAAAAATATCATCAATAAATAACAAGTACAATCTTAATGGTACTTCCAACCGATTTTGACTACAATGAGTAAACTGCAGTAGACAACGAATTTATGTCTAAATATTCTGAAGAACAAATATCTTACTAAATCTGTCAAAAAGCGATATAAGAATTTGAAGAAGCTGTAAAAAAATTAAGGCAAAACGACATAAACGTATTAGTATTTGATAAGAGAAATATTTTAGAGTTAAAAAACACTATAATGCCCGATGCTGTATTCCCAAATAACTGGATAAGTACTGAGCCTACTGGATAGGTTATTTTATACCCAATGTTTGCCTAAAATAGGAATGAAGAAAAGAAACAATTTAGATTTATTTTAGAAGATTTATTATAAAATAATTTTAAAATCGAAAAACTAATTAACTTTAAAATACAAATATTTAATAGTCTTTAGAGGGTACAGGAGCAATAATTATAGATAGAATATATAGAAGAGCTTATGCGGCCAGAAGCTAAAGGGCTGATGAGGAGTTATTCAAGAATTGGTGTTAAACTTTCAATTATGAGGCTGTTATGTTCGATGCTAAAAGCTTTTAGGGAAATCCAATTTATCATACTAATATTATAATGAGTTTAGGAGAGAAATATGCGGTTGTATGTAAAGAATGTATTAATTATGGATAGGTGGAGGAAGTTTTGAGAAAAATGGGAGAAGGAAGAGAATTGATTTTTATTAGTATTAATTAAATGGAATAAGGATTATGTGGAAATATATTATAGGTTAAATCTTATATTAATGAAAATAGATATTTAGTTATGTCGAAGTTAGCTAATGAGAATTTTACTATAGAATAAAGGAAGATTTTAGAAAAGAATGGAAAAATTGTTGCAATTGATATCCCTACTATTGAGAAAATCGGAGGAGGGAGTGCTAGATGTATGTTAGCTGAAATATTTTTGGATTAAAAGATTTGAGAAATTATATTTATTATATAAAAGTTTTTATTGTTTTATTTTGTCTTTAATTATATTTATTTATCTATTTTTTTTTAAAAGCAACAACAAAAATTAAAAAAATAACTAAATAAAAAAAGAAAAATAAAAATGTAAATAATCATTTTTAAGAAACAATGCCTTTTAGTTATAAAGAATTATATTTAGTGAATCTTTTCTTTATTTGTTATTTAAGACTAACCTTCCTATCTAATTTTGTAATAGTGAATTTCTTTGTTAAAATTCTCAATATTTTAATTTTAGGATTAAAAAGTACTTTAAAATTATTATAAGGAAAATATTTAACAAATTCTTTCATTTTGTCACAATCAATGCTCATAAACCGTTCACTTTTTTCAAAAATATTAATAATAGACTTATCTTGATTTTTTTCTAAAATTTCTTCTTCTTTGTAAAATTATTCTATTGTATTTTTATTTTATTAACTCTAAATTACTGAAATTCGTTTTGAATGTTAATTTTTATCATCAAATTCTGCTTACATAGAAAATCTTTAATTTTTTCCACCTTGATTTTTACAACAAATAGAATTTTTTTTGATATTTAAAAAATTTTTTTTTGGAATAATTTAACGTGTTTATATAGCATTTTTAGGCGATTATAATTTAATTTATTTTATTTTTTACACTTTCAGTCTTATGTCATTAGCTTTCTTTTTCATAGAAGATATATTCTCTTCCATAATAATAGATTTCTTACTGTTTTCTAGTTTGTTTTCATCTGAAGAATCATTAAAATATTAATAAAAAGAATCTGTGTCTGAAAAAATTTCCGAATATCCAGGATTTATCTAAAAAGTATCATTAACATATTATATTTTAGGAGTTCTTAAAAAATATTCCAAATCTTCATCAAAACTTGTATTTTTTTCAAATAGCGATGTATTTTAGGAAGAAAACGAAACATTATTTTAATTTTTTAATTTGTAATTTTAAATGATGTTTTTTCGTATTTTTTTCAGTTATTTTTTTACTATATCTTTAATTTTTTTGGCATTTGTTTTCTCCTTATATTTTCTAATTTTGGGATCTTTTTACCTTTCTTGATTTTTAGAATGGTTATTTCGGTGAATTATTAATTCCTTACTTCTAACAAAGTGTATAAGAGGACAATTATTAATTGTATGAGATGATTTTTTACATGAATGGCAGTATTATTTAAATTCTTTTAAATTTATAATATAATTATCTTTAATCATACAAAATTTCTCCTTTAATATATATATATATTATATATATATATATATATATATATATATTTTATATTTATATATATTTATTCTACATAATCTTCTGGATAGTTTTATAATATTTATTTAAATTCTGATGCAGAGCAAGAAATTATTAAAGAAAAACTTAAACTTTTAGCATTTGTTTCATGCAAATTTTTCCCGAAAAATTCATTTTTCCCAAACACTTCTCCTTTCTATTTTTTTTTTAATTTTAATTATTTAAATTAAAAAAACTTACATATAAATTTTAAAAAGTAACAATTTATTTAGAAGTTTCCAAAAATAATTAAACTTTTCCTTTTGCAACAAAATAAAGTTTATCACTTTAAACATATTAATTATAAATAATTTCCCCTGGACCGTAGAAATTTTCTTACATAACTATAGACAAATCTTCTAAACATTTATTAGAAAAATTAAAAGCCAAAAGTTTAAATTATTTTAAAATATTTCCATAAAACTCTCTTTTAATTTCTTTTTATAAATCTTCAGATAGCATTTGGACTAAAAATATACTATTTTGCGGCTATTCTTTTTCTTTATGTTAAATATATTCTAAATACTTCATTATTTAAATTTATAGTTATCTATTAATATTCCTATTATTCAAATAATGTCTCAATTAATATCTCTAGAGTTTATACTCGTTTTCTTTTAAATTCTTCATTTACATAATACTCCCAATTACGCTTAAAGTATAACCAAAAACCCCACTAGAAATTATCGTAATAAAAATAACATATAATTTCTCTTAATAATTTACTGGATGCACATCTCCAAAACCCACAGTTACCATCGTAATAAAACTTATATTTTTTTAGAAAAAATAAAATAAAATAAATATACCTAAAATATAATGAATTAATATATATTTCAATTTCAGAAGAGAATTCTAAATCATTATTTTTAATCCAATTTCGTAAAGAATTACTTTTTCCTATAAAAATAAATCCACAGCAAATAATATGTGCAAGTGTAATATTGGCATAGAAAAGTTTTACCAAAGTATATATATTTTATATGCTTTATCCTAAAAAAAACCTCTAAGAAATGTCTTCCGAAATATTTACAATGGTTTAAATTTTAATTAAAAAAATCATTTTACTGAATTTTTCATTTTGAAAAATTGCATTAATACAAATAATTAAAATATCACTCAAGAATTATCTTTTTAGATAATTTTTGATAATTTTTTTCCTCTTACATACTAAATTCCCATACTTATAATAACTCGAATTATTTTTTAAAAAAATATCAAATAATAATATTGAAAAATAAACCTCACTTTTGACAAAAAAATTAAATTATTCAGTATAATTTATATATAAAGGAACTGTTATTATGATCATTATATGGTAAAAAAGTTAGAAAAAATTCCAAAAAAGTAAAAATGTAGAATTTGGGTTTAAAGGTTGGAAAAAAAATAATCTAGAAATATACATGAAAATGTATGTATTTTTTTATATAAAGGGTTAAAAATAAGATTTATCTTATATAATTTTCAAATGTTTGTTTTTTATTCTAGAAAAGAGATTAATGGATGAAAAAGCTTATATTTTTTCTATGAATTTTTTAACTAAATTTAACTTATTTATAAAATTCCATTATTATTTAATGTTTTGGTTCTTTTTCAAATTATTATTAGAATTTGTTTGTCTTTTCATTTAAATTTTTTATTATAAAATATTATGGGAATGTTAAGAATTATTACTTAAACAACTTATTAAATTATGTGACTTTTCAGAATTTTCCAAATTTTTTTTATAAAAAATCTTTTTTTAATGTTCATTTATGTATTTTTTTTATTCCTTTTTTATTGAAGGAGATACTTATTAATTTATTATAGTTTTCTGGGTTAAAAGAGTTTTCTTTTTTAATTGATTGTGTGTAAAATTAGAGAAAAAATTAGAGCGATTTCTTATTGGTAAATTAAATTTATTTGGATTCTTTTTTGATTTTGTTGTAAAAGTTTTCTCTTATTATGATGGATATACTTATAGAAAATTCATATTATTTTTATTTTTTTAGTTTTTTATTTTATTTTTTTTAAAAAAAAGGAAATTTAAATAAAAAATACTTAAAAAATAATAATAATAATTAATAAATTCGAAAAATACAAAGAAAATCTTACAAATAATTATAATTTTATTTATATGAAAAAAAAAAAAATCAATGTCCATTAAAAATGAGTTATTTTTCGAAAATATTCAATTTATTTTAATTATTAAAAGCTCCTTTATATTAATTAATCTTTTTACGTTTTATAAAATCTCCTTTGTAAATAGTTTACCCATCAAATTAATAATTTTCTGGCATAATAACATTATTATTATTAAATTACTAAATTTATTGAATGTTTTTTTCTTTTTTTATCTAAAAATTCTTAGCATTATTAAAGCTGGCCTAATAATTTGACACAGCATTAAATCCATGATTCAGAATTTTTTCTTTTCTTTCGAATTTTTTAATAGGATTTGGTTCCATTTTTTAAAAACTCTGTAAGTATTCGGATTTTTAATTTAATGGAATAATAAAATTAGGGTCATATGTGTCTACACTTTTGAACGGTTGGGTGTTTTGCAGTTTTTTAGGGTTAAAGTCTTTATTATATGTAGATAATAAGGTATTTGGGTGAAATTAGTATTCTTTTACTTAATCTTTGCCTTTATAATTGCGTTATTTAGAAATATTTAAGTCCCATTTACGGTATGAGTCTTTCTTAGTGGATACAAATAGTTAATCTTTGTGCAAAAAATGGTTGAATTCATCAACTTTGGATAGAAGGTTTGCACTTTGGACCCTTTAGTTTTATAATAATCTGGGATATTTTATGTTGTAACGAGTCCATTAGTCTGATTTTTTAAAATATATCGGACGTTGTTAGCTTTTTTAAGATTAAGATAATTAATTATTAGGGCTGTTATCATTTTGATCCACTTAAAAATAATAAAATTCTTTTTGACGATTTGCAAACATATTTTTTATATAACTTATTTTTTATTTTATATTTTATATTTATTAGATTTTTTTTTATTTTCTATTTTTAAAAAATTATATATAATAAATAAAATAATATACGTTAAGTATGTTTCAATTAATATATTAATTATTTCATTTTTATTATTTATTATATAAATAAATAAATTAAATTATATTATATTATTTTATTTAAAACTTAATATATATATATATATAAATTTTTTACTTTTAAATAAACTAAAGAAATATAATATTAAATGTTTAAGTTTAAAAAAAATTATAAAACACTGAATAAAATTTTGTATAAAAAATTAAAGTAAATAAAAAATAAAAAATAAAAAAAATTATAATAAATATAATAAAAATATAAAAATATATATATAAATAAAAAATAATATATATATAATATATATATATTTATATTTATATATATTCATATATATATACAAGAAAGGTAAAATAATTTAATTAACTAAAAAATAATATTTTTATAGAAACTAAACAAAGTTAATATATTAATATGTAAAAAAAAAATTATTAATTAATAAAAAAGAAATAAATAATGAAATCTTTTCATTTAAGATTTTAGGCTTTTAATATATTTTGAGTAATTAAATTAAAAAATTTTAGATGATGTAATCAAGAATTAAATTAAGTTAAATTATTTTTACTATTGTATTATAAATATCAATATTTTTAAAAACTATATTATTATTTCATATTTGAATAAAAGCATAATTTGTTAAAAAGCGTCTAATAAAACATCAACAATTTCTAAATTTTATTTTATTTAAATAATATTTAAGATTAACCCATTTTATAGCGTTAAAATATTTTTTTTATAGTTAATCATTAAACCTAAAAGATGTTAAAATATAAATTCTTACAAAAAAATTATAATAATATATGTATTTTTTTTCATTAAACTTTTATACAATTTATATGTAGAAAAATTATAAATTTTAATAAAATAATAGTTTTAAGGGAAAAATTTACTGAATTTTTAACTTATTATTATAATCATTATATATCCTTATTTTAAATTACTAACTTAAAAATTATTTTCTATTTAAAAATTTAACATAATTAGGTGATAATAAATTAGGATATTTCTTAAATCAATAATAAAGATTAAGAATACAATATTATTAAAGTTAATATTATTATTAGTGAAATTATAAATTTAATAAAAAACTGTTTGTGCGAAATATTTAAACGAAAGTTTCAATAATAAAAAAATTAAGCTAAACTTATTTAGTTCGTAAATATTTATTAAATCATCTACAAACTATAAATAGGAATGTTTCTAATTATATTTTGATTATTTTATTTTTTATAATTATCCTTATTATTATTAAACATTTTTTATTGAAACATTATTTATATATTTTCCATTTTCGATTTTTTAGTGTATAAAATTATATATATGTTAGTGTTAATATATAATTAATTTAATGGTATTTTATAAAAATATAATAATAACTAAAATAGTCTTTATTATTAAAACTTTTTTTAAAAAAATATACATAAACAAATGAAAAAGCTTATATATATTTTTCAATTTTGTTAATCTAATGTAAGTGCCAAAAGTTGTCCAGTCATAATTCCAAAAGTTAAACCAAAAGCGCAAATAAAAGCAATTAAATCTCTATCTTTAGAAACTTTAGCCTTTTCTGGAGCTAATCTCATTAAACCAGAAGTAGCGAATCCATTACTAAAGGAGAACAAGTACATATTAACACAGGCAAAAGCATCATGTTATAAAAACGCATTTCCTAACTAATGGACAGTCAAAAGGAATGTTAAATAGAATACAAATCTTCCCATTACAGTTAAATACATAAAAATTAATCCGAAAATTTTAAAAGAACCAACATATTTTCCAGTAACATCTCCAAAATTATAAATAGTAATTAAAATCAATCTTATTTTTTTGTTTTTTTAAACAAATATATATAAATACATAAAAAAAAATATTTACGCTTGCCATCCATCAGGCAATTAATGAAATTTTTTCTAAAAAACAGAAACACCTGGAAACAGCATAAAAGTTTATATATAAATAAACCAAATAAATACTGGAGCAAGTCCTGCTTTTTAAAATCCTTACATTAATATTGCTATATATCCTAAAATTCCTGGTTTTTCTTCATTTTATATGCTGATATTATTATCAGAAACAGCAGATCCATCAGTATTTTTATTAAGTAAATTATTTTAATCTCTTATTTATATTTCCTAATAATATTCACTTTTTATGAAATTTATTTATAAGAAAATTGTTATTATGGTAATCACAACAGCCAATATGAAATAAATTATAGTTCCATAGGTACTCGAATTATATGAATTAGCTCCAAAAATTAAAAAAACAAAAGCTCTAGACACATTCATAGAAAATCCGGAAACTCCCGTAAAAGTCCAAAAAACACCTAATAATTATTAATTAGTACTGGAAGCTAGTGCTATGGATGAATTTTAAGCTATAGAATTAAACATACCTAAAAAAAATGTACATAAAAAGCATAAATAATAGCCTATATTATTGGGTAATAAAAGGGCTAAAATTGGCAAAAAAATCATAAAAATAGCTACTCCTATTAAACATCCAGAAATTCTAATTGTTAGGGAATAAATATCAGCTAATTTAGGAACTAAGAGTCCGAAAAAAAAATTAGCTATAAATAATGGGATAGGGAATAAAAATGATACGTCGCCATATCCTTTGCTTTTTGGATAACGATTTGAAAAGAAGTCTAATGCTGTTAAAACTGCGTTCCAACCTATTAATGATGAAGCGCCTAAAAACATAAATGTTATTTTGTGAATTAGTTTTGTTGATTCTTATGATTCAGTTAATGGGGAATCAATTTATTTATGATCTTCAGTTATTAATTTTTATTTAGATTTCATTTTTAAGATTTTATTATATTATTAAATTTAAAGATTTTTTTTTTTTTTAAATAATTTATAAATATAAATTATTATATTTTATAATAATATATTTTTTTGTAAATTTTATAATTTTATATTATTTTGGTAAATTTAATATTTTTTTTAATGTATTTTATATATTATAGATATTTTTTTTAATTTTTATTTTAAATTTATTTTTATTTTATTTTATTTTATGTTTTTTTTTTTTTTTTTCAAATATTAATACATTATTTGTTTTTTATTTTCTAAATATATTTATTTATTTAATTTTAGTTATGGATAAAAAATAATATAAAAATAAATTATTTTATACTAATTTAAAATTTATGATTATATTTAAAGCAAAACAAAAAAATACTAGAAATAATTATTAGATAAAATTTAAATCATCATTAATTTATAAACTATAAATTATTAAATATAAAAAGATTATTATTATATTAGATATTTTTTTTTATTTATATATTTGAATATTTATTTAATAATTATTTTTTATTTTTGTTTAATATATTTTTATCAATAATTCATTAAATTTAAATAATATTAAATCAGGTAAAAAATATAAATATAAACTATTTTTTTCATAAAAAATAAAAAATAATATATTTTTATATTAATAATAATTTTATTTCAAAATAATTTTTTTATTTAATTTTCCATTAAATTCTTAAATGTTACTTATTTATTTATACTATCAATTTATTTAATAATTAGTTATAAATTCTAATTAATTTATAAATCTTTATTAACATAGTTTTTTTAATATTCTTAACTTTCTAAATAATTAAAAAAACTTTTTAACTATTCGCCAATTTATTCCCATTAATTAATTTCATGAAGAATTTAATTTTAGTTTAAAACAATATTTTTTTCACAAGAATCAATTTAATTTAAAATTTTTTATATATTTTTTAAATAATTCTTCATTTTCTAAATGGCTTCATATAAATCATTTTTAGTATTCGAATTTTAAATATTTTATATAAATGAATTAAATAAAACTTCTAAACCAAAAGGCTCCTATATAGAACTTAAAATTTATTTAAGTATTTCGTATCTATTTAATTTATTATTATTCAAATAATTAATTTAAATATATTATATATAATTTTTAATAAAAGGTTTTATCTATACAATTTTATTATCTTTAAAACTATCAATATTGTAATTTAATATGAATAAAATCATAATTATATGGTTTTCACGACTTTATTTCTCAAACAATGAAATTTTAAAAGGTTGAGTTTTCTTTTAGAAATCGGAACTAATAGTTTTAAAATTTTAAATAATATTTTCTAATAATAAATTTAGTCTTTCGTATATTTTTACTATTCTATGCTTATTATAATTCTTTGTTTCTTAAAATAATATAATTTATTTTTACACGTCATTATTTATTTTATTAATATCTTAATTTATTTTTTCTAAATATTAATATATTTTATTATTATCTATAGTTTAAAAGTTTATATTGAAATTTTCTTAAGATAATAGTTCATTCATATAAATAAGATTTTTAAATGTATTTTCTATATTTTCGATTATTAAAAACTATTATTTTATTTTATTTGAAGTTTTTTTTATTAGATTTTGCTTTTATTAAAATAATTATATTTAATTTTCTAAATTTTATATTTTTAAAAATTCTTTTTTTAAATTTTAGATTTATTAAATATTTTCGTTTGTTAAATCTTAATTTCCTTATATAACTCTCTTCAAAACGCCTATTAAAATTAAAAAAAATAAAATAAATAAAAATATATAAAATATAAATATAAAATATATATATATATATATATTATATATATATTTTAAATATATATTTTAATTTATTCTTTTTATAATTATTTATATTTATTTTAATTTATTTAATTTTTTATAATTATTTTTTTATTTTAATTTGTTATTTTATAATTATTATAATATATATAAAAAAGAAATACTTATTAATTTATGAATCTAGCAATTCATATTTTCAACTTAAAATGCTTAAAGGCTTTCCCATATTTCAATTTGTTAAAATATATGTTATTTTGAAAATAATTTTTCATTACTTTGTAAATATTAATTAACAAAATTCTTTAAAAAATAATAATAGCATTAATTTTGATTATTTTATTCTACAATAATATTACATGATTTTTTAAAATCTTCAATTAAATTATCTTAAAATTAAATATAGCAATCTTATTTATATTAATCATTTATAATTTATATAAATTTATCAGTATTATTAGATATATACCCTAAGATAGTAGAAATACCTTATGAATATTTAAAAAATTATTAGTCCTTTGCATTTATATTATTTTTAAGTTTTTTATTTAGTTATTCTATATATACATATGCATTTATATCTTCATCTTCATCTTCATCATCATTTTAGAGTTATTTAATTATTTGAAATTTTAAAAGAACTTTTTTTAATAAATATTAATCTAGAAAAAATGTTAATCTTTCTTTATTTTCCCATATTTCATATTCTATTTTTTTTTTTTTAATTCTTCAACTAGTTATTTTGCTTAATATTTTTAATTTATAGATAATTAAGACCTTTAAGATAATTTTTTTTTTTAAAAAAAAATTAATTTTTTACTATTTTTAAATATTTATCCAAATCAGTAATTAATGTCTCAATTTTGCTTTTGAAATTACAATTTTAGTTATTTTTTAAAAAATTTGAAGATATTTCCAAATTTATTTCATTTATTAATTTTTTACCTTCATTAATTTTATTCTAGAACATATTTTTTTAAGAACCTTCTTTCTCAAAAAATATTTAATCTAAATTTTCTTAAAGTCGGCTTATTTAATTCAAAAAACATTAAATTTTTTTGATTTCACTTTCAAAATTAGGTAAAGGGAACGGATATTTTTTATTAAAAGGCTCAGAAAATCTTAAAACATCAAATTTTATAGCCTAAAGTGCTTTAATAGTTTAATAAAAATATTAATTATTTAATATTTTTGCCTAATTATTTAAAAAGTAATCAACTTAAACTTATTTTTCTTTTAAAAAATTATCTAAGGTGTCCCTTTAATCTAGAATAAAAATATATTATTAAAAATGTATAATTTTTTATTCCAGAAGTCCAAACATAAATTATTACTAAGAAATTTTTTATGAAAAAACATTTTTTTAATTATTAGAAAAAAAAGGTTAAATTTCATTAAAAATTTATTATTTTCGTAAATAATTTTTTTATTCTTATAAAATTTTTAAGTCTTTTTAAGAAATTTCCATTGTATATAAATTATTTAAATGATTTTTTATTTCTGAAAGATTTATAATTTATTCTTCGAAAGTTTTTATTATTTTTTCGTCTTTATTTATTAATTTTTCTAATTCTTCCCTTTTTTTATGTATTTTTTCTCCATCATATTCCTCTTTTTAAATTTCTTCTTTTTTTATTTCTAAAAAAACACAAAATTCTTCTATTATTTCGTATATTTATATTTAATTAATTTAATTTTTTAATAAAGAATTTATATTTGTTATAATTTAAGTAAATTAAGCCATATATTCTTTATTTTTTATATTATGAGCACAATATTCATATAAATTTTTGTAAATATCTTTATTTTAATAAATATCTTATGTAATTTATTCAAAGTTCATTTTTTCAATTAAATTCCCTTATTAAATTTGTGAGAATTTCATTATATTTTATTCAAAATATTCCTTTATTTATGTTATTTTTTTCGAAAATGTTTTCTAGTTGAAATTATCTTTTTATTTTTCTTGGAAAAATTTCCTTTGGAAATTTTATAATTAAATATTTTCAATATAATAGATTATATCTTTCATTTTCGAAGTCCTTTAGGTATTATCGATTCCCTACAAAATCAGATTTTAATAATTTTCGATATATTTTTCTAATTCTTGTTCATGATTTACTATATAAGAACTTATATTGAAACCTTCTTTTAGTAATTTTTATGAATTATCACATGTATTATATAGAAAACCTTTTTTTATTAATAAAAATTTATATATATATAAATTTATTTATATATATATATATATATATATATATATATTACCTTTTAAATTATTTTAAATTAATAATGTTTATAAACTTTAATAAAAATTATTATTAAGAAAATATATATATCTTTATATTATTATATTATTATAGTGTTTTAAGGTTACACATATTTTAAGTTTTATTTAATTCCTTTTAATATATATTTTCATCTTCATTTGTTTTTAAATAATATTAAGTATAATATCTTTATTAATTATTTTTTGGCTCTGGTGTATAAGTTTTTAAAATTTTGTTTATTCATCTATGAATTTAGGAATTGTAACATATTATTACTATTAGTTTTAAATTTATTTTATATTTTAATAACTTTTGTTTTTATTTATTTATTAATATTGATTATTATTTATTTGATATTGATTTAATGACTAGTATTCGTTATATGGGTTTTATTATTTATGTATGTTGTAAATTATTGCTTAATTTGTTTAAGTTATTGATTAGTATGGCTTTTTTTTAGCGGAGAAATCCATTTTTATTTTTAAATAAATATATTTATTTTATTTTAGTTTAAATATATATTTTTTATTTTTATCATAAAAAATTTTATATATAAATAAAAGTTATATTAATAAATAAATTATATATAATATATATTTAACCTCATCATTAACATATATATGTTTTTTATTAAATATAAAATAAAAAGTAATTTTTTGTATTTATTTAATTTTAAAATAAAAAAAATTATTAAATCTATTATTTCATTCAAAAAATAAAATAAAAAAATTTAGAATATAAAAAAATATTAAACAATTATTTAATAGTATATAATTTTATTATATATATATATGTATATTACTATAAATTAAAAATGAAAAAAAATAAAAAAAAGAAAGTACGTACTATCATTATTTTTAAAACAATCAATTATTTTAATTTTAAAAAGATTAATATAACATCCATGCACTTTATCTTTAAAAGCATTGT